TCAAATCGAGATGAAATTTGGTGATTGGTGAGTGTTTTTGGTGGAAATTTTGATGACAAAGGATGGAATTTCCATAGGAAAGATGGGTATCGGAATCGCCGCTGGCAATTGGGTGAAGTGAGTGTTTCTGTGTAGAGACTTGTGTAGAGCTATAATTTCTGTGTAGAGATTTGTGCAGAGCTAAAATTTACACAATTATTTCAAGTTTTGATGCCACTTGACTCGAGATTGCAAAAGCGTGAACGCGATTTCTTTTTGGAAAGCTTTCATGAGGGAATTTCCCAGTAAATTTGGCTTTATCAAGTCGATTTTAAGCGCATCTAAATGTCTTGCCCGAATTCTTCAGACCAATTCCTGCCCTAAGTCTGGTTCTTTGTTTTTTGATTGTTTTTTTCAACAATTTTACAACCCATGACTAGGAATTTGAAAAAAAAACGCTTAAGAAGACTTGAAAAAGATTTAAATAACATTTCATTTGAGTAACTGGATAGATACAGATTTCCCAGGCACACTAATCCTTTGAAAAAGTAAAATGAGGCTATACGAGTCATTTGTCTTCGCAAAGTTGGGCGAAAATCGGCAAGAGATCCCAATCGGAAACCTCAACGCCACGCGACTCTCATTGAAAAGAAAAAGAGCTTGCACAAGTTTCGAAATGAAATGAAAATCAGTGTTTGAAGATTTTCAACCGAATAGGCATCAACTTCAAAACCAGCGCTCAAATATCTTTTCAAAAATAAAAAGATTATAAGCCTCAGCCAATAAGTGTTGTATATTGTTTAAAAGCCTTGAATCTTCTCTACAAAATAGTGCAAAAAGATTTTGAATTGGATTGATCATTGGGGACTTGGGCGAGTTTTAAGTTGAAAGGTAAAAAATTAGCATTTTCTGGTAATAGCCCGGGTTTTTCGTTAGAAAATACCGTCAAGCAAAGTTATTTGAAAATAACTTAAAAGAAAAGAACTCTTTTTGTTTGTTCGAAAGAAAAGAACTCCTTCTTCTTCTAAAGCTAAATCTTTGTATTTCAAAGAAGCCTCATTTTAAGCAAAAAAAAGTGCTTGTGTTTGAAGATTTTCAACCGAATAGGCATCAACTTCAAAACCAGCGCTCAAATATCTTTTCAAAAATAAAAAGATTATAAGCCTCAGCCAATAAGTGTTGTATATTGTTTAAAAGCCTTGAATCTTCTCTACAATTTTGTAAATCTTTACAGCTATACGAGTCATTTGTCTTCGAAAAGTTAGGCGAAAATCGGCAAGAGATCCCAATCAAAAACCTCAACGCCACGCGACTCTCAATGAAAAGAAAATGTGTTTGCACAAGTTTTGAAATGAAATCAAAATCAGACGATTGTGTTTGAAGATTTTAAATCAAATCAAAATCAAATGGCAATGATGCACGCGGGAATTGGACTCAATCAGTAATATTTTGGCAACTTATTGAACCAACTAAAAACTCATTGATAAATGTTAACTTTATTCGTATTTTGTTAGCCAAGAATTCGATAAAAATTTATTTCTTTCAATTTAGTTTACCAATCAAAAAGCATTTAGAAAGTGCTTTTTCTTTATTTCGACATCGAATTTAAAACAAAATGCAAATGGAGAGCATTTTCAAAATGAAGACGACCTCAAAAAGTGACTTGAAAACATAAGAAATGCGGATCTCAACATTTCCATAAATTTGCAACGATAGAAACCTGATGTTATAAACAAGAATCGATGAATGTTATAAACTATTTGAAAGTTGTAAATCTCCTCTACAAAATAGGCTAAATCACAACCTGCTTCCACATTTCTCTATCCCTTGCTATTGTCATCCAGTGTTTCCTATCTTGATTGTTCCTGGTTCGACGTCTTCGACTTGCTTGTGCTGGTGGTGGTTGCACTCTAGCCATCCTTTCTCTGACCGTCTCTGCCACTCTTGTGCTCCACCTCGTTTATAAACTATTTGAAAGTTGTAAATCTCCTCTACAAAATAGGCTAAAACGTGTTTCAATTGATCGAAGCATTGAAGAAATTTCGAGGGCGAAATGCGAGTGACCAAAAAAGGAATTGAGGCACTTTAGGGACAAGTTTAGTGTGCTCAAAATAGAGTTAGCTTCCCAAAATTGAAGATTTAAATAAAGAAAGGATAACTATATATGCATTCATTAAAAAAGTCTAACGGAAATGCGTTTGCAGAAATTTAGATAGAGCGTAAGTTCAAAACCCTCAAAATTGTCGAAAAACCGGCTTTTTCACAAAAAAGAAAAATTATTGTAAAAACAAAGTTTCCCCATGAAATGATCCGAACTCTTAACTATTTTGAATGATATTTGAATGATTTTGAATGATGGGCGATCATTTTCCACTATATAGTCAAAACCGAACTCTTGTGAAAGTGAGGTTTTCAAAAAAAAGATGCGCTTTTTTTGTCACTTGCATTTCGCCCTCGTAAAAAAATTAAAAAAAAAATAAAAAAAATTAAACACCCCTAAAGAGAAAAAAAAAAAAAAAAAAAAAAAAAAAAAAAAAAAAAACATTTTATAAAAAAAAAAAAAATTTAAAAATTTAAAAAATTTTAAAAAAAAAAAACAAATTTTAAAAAAAAAAAAAAAAAAAAAAAAAAAAAAAAAAAAAAAAAAAAAAAAAAAAAAAAAAAAAAAAAAAAAAAAAAAAAAAAAAAAAAAAAAAAAAAAAAAAAAAAAAAAAAAAAAAAAAAACACTTTTTTTGTTTTAAAAAAAAATTTTTTAAAAAAAAAAAAAAAAAAAAAAAAAAAAAAAAAAAAAAAAAAAAAGGGGGGGGATTTTAAAAAAAAATTAAAAAAAAAAAAAAAAATTTTTTTGAAAAATTTGGTTTTTTAAAAATAAAATATTAAAAATTTAAAAAAAAAAAAATTTAATTTTTTTTTTGAAAAAAAAAAAAAAAACATGTTACATCGGAATTGGGGCACACCGCTAATCTATATCAACCGATATATCAACCAAAAAAGCATCCCGATCACAAAATCTTGGTTTACCATATTTCGAATTGTTGAAAATTTTTTTAATCATATTTCATTTGAGTAATTGGATAGATACGGATTTCCCAAGCACACTAATCCTTTGAAAAAGTAAAATGAGGCTATACGAGTCATTTGTCTTCGAAAAGTTGGGCGAAAATCGGCAAGAGATCCCAATCGGAAACCTCAACGCCACGCGACTCTCATTGAAAAGAAAAAGAGTTTGTACAAGTTTCGATATGAAAGGAAAATCAGACGAGTTGTTGTGTTTGAAGATTTTAAACCGAATAGGCATCAACTTCAAATGATTAGGGTGGTGGACTCTTTCGTAGTAGGATTTTGGTTTTGAATAGAAAAACTTTCAAAGCCAATTTTTGACTGCTTCTTCCGGATCGAAGTGTTCTCCCGAAAGCTCATTACTCATGGTTCGGAATAAATAGTAATCAGAAGGGGCGAGGTCCGGACTGTATGCGGGATGCGCCAAAAGTTCTCAACTAAGGCTCTTTATTGTAGAGCTAGTCACTTTTGCAACATGTTATTAGTTATTATTTAGATAAAAAGTTAATTCTCTAACAGATTTCCTCTTTTATTGGGTTGGTGAAAACTGCGGGACTTTGAACTAAAATTTATTCAACATAAAACCATGAATTCATTCGAAATAATTTCCATTATTATTGACGACTTCTGCCCATTTTACAGGCAATTTGCGGATTCCTCTTTCGTAGTAGGATTTTGGTTTGTGTGTGAGACAAGTGTGAGACTCAAAAATGGAGGACTGGAGATGTCCCAGTTTGAGCACTTTCTTCCAAAGAAACCCATTTTGGTGTCAATAGTAAAGTTGTAGAGAATCAAAAATGAGGCTTATAGCCAAATTTCCAAAAAGACACACTTAGTAGTTTCGCTTAAAATGCAAGTTTTGTGGAAATTCGTAAATTTGGCATTTCTTGAAAACTAGTTTTTGAATCGTCCCGAAAATTTGGATATAAGCTTGATTTTTGATTCTCTACAACTCTTCCATTGACACCAAAATGGGTTTCTTTTGAAGAAAGTGCTCAAACTGTCACATATGACAATAGCCGGCAGTTTTCAATTCACCAACCCAATAGTTTCATTGTGATTTGTACGATCGAATCCTTGTAGAACTGTCTATATTGTGCATTTGCGTTTAGATTTCCTTTCGATTAATTGTTTATATAAATTTTTGTCTAAACAAGGAAGTTTTGTTATTTCTTAAATCCGCAAAAATTTTTGTTTTTTCACAAAAGAGTTTTCCATAAACAGGGCAAAAGGGAAAAGTCTGGGGAAAAGAGAAAAATGAGAGAGAATTGACCTAAAACTCTTGTAAAAACTTGAGAAATATTGGAAATGAAATGGAAATGAAATGATTTCAGCGAAGAATTCGAGATTAAAGAGATTTCTCGAGAAAAAAAGCATCTCCTTATCAATTATCTCAATTTTGTTGGGTGAACGATTGACGAAAGTTTCAGGGTTAACCTTTTTTAGGATTTTTTAGGATTTTGGCTGATCTCGGATAACTTTATTATCAAATATTTTATAGATTTGGATTTTGGAATTGAAATTTATCTTGTAATCATCTGAAAAACTCTTTTTAGTTTTTTCGTTCTACTTTAGTTCTTTGGCCTTTTGTTCTTTGTGCAAATAAAAAGCCTAAACACACTCTTTCTAGTGCACTGAATTCACCTTTTCTTTGCAGAAACGGTTTTGAATTCACGAGAGAATAAAGAACGGTTTGAAAACGGTTTGAATTCACGAGAGAATTCAGTGCATGAGAAAGGATATGTTGAAAACAAAGCTGGGATTTTGCAGATTGTCGAATCTTTTAGAGGCCAATTAGTCAACAAATCAAACAAATTTCAGGGTGAAAATGACCAATCATTGGGTGACGACCATTCTGCTGGGCTACTGTTTTCTGTGGATTGCACAGGCACAGAATGCAACGAATGCTGATCCGTGTGCCGATGCGCCGACTGCAGCCGCGAAGAAAGTCTGTCGACAGATGACGAGATGGAATGATCATGCGAAAGTGGGGAAAAACTATTCAAACTTTACAAAAAGACCTATAAAATGACAATGAGAAGAAAGGCATGAAAAGCGCCTTTCTGAAGCGCTCAATTCTTTTCACCAAATGAAGACCTACCGTAAATACTGTAATACACTACGTAAATACTGTAGTACCCCACCCCATGATGACGAGTGTTGTGTAGTCTAGCTTTGGACGAGTTTTTCTCGACATTGGTTTATGCTACAATGCTCGCTTAGGCCTCAAAAAATAGCTGAAATTCAGGGCAAAGTGAAAAGATTTGTTCCTAGATTAGAGCTTTACTTTGTTATTTACATACCGTGAATACTGTAATAGTACCCCACCCTCATAATGACGGTGCGGAGTGTTGCGTAGTCTAGCTTTGAACGAGTTTTTCTCGACATTGGTTTATGCTACAATGTGCGCTTAGGTATCAAAAAATAACCCTGAATTTCAGCTATTTTTTGATATCAAAGACGCATTTTTTGAAAGTACTGGCGCTTTGAAAAAAATGAAATACTAAAAAACTTTTGCGACTACGCGACTGTACGAGGGCGGTGGGGTACTATTACAGTATTTACGGTAAATGCGACAGAAGCGGTTCGTCATATAGAAGATTTTATAGAGCTTTTTATGACAACTTTTTAGGTACCCTCTGGTCGCAGGCCAAAATACCTTTCCGAAACACTATTTACACTAACTATTTATCTAAAACATTGTCCTAAAGACTTTTTAGGATTATTCACATCTTGTTAGCCATAGTTCATAGAAAATTTTGCTTCTATAATTTTTGTTTTTTTTGAAAAAAGGTGACCAAAATGAAATGAGACCTCAAAGCTGCACAAGTCGATCTGAAGAGGGACATTAAATGGGGAAAATGCTCAACTGCAAATTCAAAACCGTAATAAACTATAGAAAACTGATTTTTAACTAAATAGCTACTAAAAACTTTTAAAAATACCAAATTCTAATTTGCTACGAAGCTAGGAAAGCTATTTTGGTCTGTGATCTCAAATCTTATCTTAAAAATTGCTATAAAATTTTCTATATGAATAAAATAGAAGAGATGAAAGAATTTTCTAGCATAAAAATACTTGAAAAATCTAATTTTTTAAGTTTTGAGTCTTGGAAACTTTAAAAAAACATCCTAAAATTGGTCTTTTAAGAGGGGACACAACTTTTGACTTCCCTGTAATACTGAACATATTAAAACTGAAATTAAAACTTAAAACTCAACAAGTGACTGTAAAAGTTGTGGATAACACAAAAAGCGTACACCGTGACCTACAGCGTACACCGTGAAAGCGTATACCGTGACCAAGCGTGACCTACAGCTTCAAATAAACCTTGAGAATAAAAATTTCCGACCTTTAGGAAGAAGCAGCCAAGAAGAAGACGGTTGCGCTTCCACCCGGTGTTAAAGAGGGATGGGCGCCGGATTTGGCTCCGATTGTCTCGAGTTTGGAAGCCTGTATGGATATGGCTTGTGTTTGTCGATTCTTGGCTGGTATGCTACGTTTTAAATATGAAGATTCTCATATTGCCTCATAAAAATGAAAGAATTCAAAGATTTTCAGGCAGTCAAACCTCTCCATGCACGCTCAACGGGAAACCGGTTAAAAAGGTGATTTATTGAAGAAATTTTAAGTAATTCAATCATTTAATTATTCAGTTATTGCATTAAATTTGTAAAATTGCATAAATTTGAAATGCTAGGTCCTCCGAAAGGAATATCGTATGATGACCGACATAGAACGACAGAAATTCCACGCGGTCATCTTGCAGCTGAAACAAAACGGGAAATTTGATGAAATGGGTAAAAAGATATGAAAGAAGATATGAAATAAGGAAATAAGATAATAAGATCATTGGTTATAACCTAATCTTTAGCCAAGATGCACAGCTCAATGGGAATGTCCGGTGGGGCACACGGTGGACCGGCTTTCGCCGTCTGGCATCGAGAGTTCGTCAAGAGGTAGGACGATTTGATTTTTAAGTATTCGTACTATTTTTCTAGTACAATATTTTTCTAGTACAAGATTTTTCTAGTACAAGATTTTAATGTACATCTGAATTCCCATTTCTCAGAGTCGAAATGGAGCTGCGAAAAATCGATCCCGATGTCTTTTTGCCGTATTGGGATTCGACTTTGGAGTGGAGATTGCCCAGAGGACAGGACAGTTCACTATTCTCGTGAGTGCAGATGGAAAACTGTTTGAGTTATTCAAAAGAAAGTATTCTCAAATGATTGATATTGAGATTTATTGTTTAAACCATTAAGCCATTAAGTTTTAACCATTAAGTTAACGTGCGATCAACAAAATGACAAAAGAATCTAGAGAAATTCAAAGAATGACAGTGTTTTGTCAATGTTAACCTCTTTATTTTTCATCTAAAACCAAAAACCAAACCAAAAACCAAACTTGTGAATGTCCAACAATACTCCAAACCAAATTCAGAGCAGAATTGATGGGCAATCCAACCGGCAACATCAACATCGGCCCGTTCGCCAACTTTCGAGCTATTGATGTAAGGAAAACTATTGAAAACTATTAAACTTTAATTCAAGAATCGATTCCTCACGAGAAACACCGGTGGTGAGGGACAGCCGTTCTCGGTAAAGAAAAGGAAATCGAATAAAACTAAAAGTTTTCTGTTTAGGATCAAGATATTTCAGTCCTTCTTCAGCAGACTGTCTTAAATGGAATCATGGCCTATTCGCCGTCGGGAGCGGTAAGTTTAAAAAGTAAAATCTTTAAAATAGCTTACAGGGTTGCCCGATTCGTCCCAACTACTACAGTTTAGAGTCAATGCATGGAAATGTACACTTGTGGATTGGAGGTGAGAGCTGTTTAGGGATTTAGGCTTAAGTATTCAAGTTTAAGGTAAGATTCTCACAGATTTCTCTCTCAAACCACATTTCCAGGTCACATGACCGATCCGGAAACGTCGGCAAACGATCCGATTTTCTACCTTCATCACTGTTTTGTTGATATGCTTTTTGAGATCGTTAGGCAACAGAATCAGGTATCGAAATGAGCTGGGTGAAAAATTTTTGGCACTAGCTTGACGAAAAGTTTAGTCCAAGACCTAATAGACTCAATAAAATGAGCTCCAATCGATTCGGCTGTAGTTTTGGTGCAGATTCTCGAATTCTGCAAACCTGTCCAACCATTGTGTCACTCTAAAAGAGCAGCTAAAACGGGAAAAATGCGATCTGACTTAGCTCTTCTAGAATTACGTGGCCCGATCAAGCTCGATTTGATTGGATATTTCCAAAAGCGGCCGACAACGGACAAGAGCTAAATTCCCATTTCAGGATCGTGGCCGCCGTGAGACCGAGTATCCACCGGACAATGGCCTCTGCTCAAACGCTCAACATTTCTCTGGTGCCCGAATGGCTCCATTCAATCAATATCGGTAAGAATTGATTTATTCAAAAAAAACTAGACGGATTGCATAGCATAGATTCAACCCCGAATTCCAGAAACATTGACGGTTTATCGAACAAGTACACGGATGAGTTGTACACTTATGACAATCGACCCTCATGCACACAAACGAATCCGAGTTGCGGGAGCAGGTAAAAAAATGGAAAATAGTAAAAAGTGATGCTAAAAACAAGTTAGTTACAGTTTTCATTTCAAAGCTCAAAATTTAGATTCTTGTTCTGTGATTTGTCTCATGGACAACCCCGATGTGCATCAAAGATCCGAGTCGGCGGAAGTGTCAGTTCGAGTTTCGATTAAATAGATTCTAAATCATAAAATTGGCAGCGAGAGGAGTCGAACCCGCGATCTTGCTCTTTCGTTCGTTTGAGAGACATGCGCATTAACCACTCGGCCATGCTCTAGTAGATGGAGCAGTGCGAGCGCACTTGTCTTTAGCCCAAACGACCCGAGTTCGACTCCCGCCCGCGTCGGCAATTTTGGTTTTTTAAAAATTTAAAAACATATTACACAACTAGATGGAATTCTAAGTCAAACTAAGTATAAGTCATTGAAAACGGTCCACTGGGTCCGGAGGAGTTGACAGAACAGATAAACCGACAGAGAGGCACAGCTCTTTTGTCTATAAGTCGATTTCTAACTGTGGTAAAGTTTTAGATCAAGAAATCGCTAAGATGAAGATGAAAATGAAGATGAAGTTAATTTTTGGGCGGTATCTATTGTAGAATATGGTCAAAGGTTTTACCCAGACACTTGGAATCGTGTAGATATTGGTAGAGCATTAGTCTGATAAGCGAGCGATCGGCCGTTTAAATCCCAGGCTCAATCGCAGCTCGAAAAGGTTCCTATACGTTTGTTTATTACTTATAAATGCAAATACTGCTTTAATATTTACATTATATCATTTTCTACTGGAGCTTTTTCAAGTAAAACTTTAGTGCCAAGGCTACACGGCGGGTGAGGACGCCTGTTACAATGGAAAGTGTCAGAATAGTGTTTGCGTGGCTTCGGTGAGTGAGACAACTTGGAAAATCTAGATCTAGATTGAATCTAGATCTAGGTTGAATCTAGATCGCCTGTTACAATGGAAATCTAGATTTCTTTGTAAAATTATCTATAATCTATCTAAATTATCTTATCTTTCTTATCTTTCTTATTTTCTTATTTTCTTATTTTCTTACTTTCTTATCTTTCTTACTTTCTTATTTAGTCAGTCCCTGTGAGCACTGTGGCCCCAGTCGTGTCAACTATTTCCCCGCCTGTCACCCTGCCTCCACAAGTAAAATTTTGTCATTTGTCTTTGAAAATGTTATGAGCAAGCTGGCTAGCTAGTAGATTATTAGTTTTATAGAATTTAGTTATTTGGTTATGTTATGAACTAGCTGGCTAGCTAGTAGATTACTAGAGTTTTATAGAATTTAGTTATTCAATTCTAATCTTAATATCTCACTGATTGTAGTTGGAATGCTGGAACGAGAATCAATGCTGTCAATCGTGGGCCGGTCGCGGAGAATGCACGAGAAACACGCAATATATGAGAGATTTCTGTAAAGCTTCGTGCAATATCTGCACAGCGAATCCACCATTGAGAGATGGTGAGTGAAGAGTGAAGAGTGAAGAGTGAAGAGTGAAGAGTGAAGAGTGGAGAGTGGAGAGTGGAGAGTGGAGAGTGGAGAGTGGAGAGTGGAGAGTGGAGAGTGGAGAGTGGAGAAAGTTTAGAGATCAACTATTAGATTGAATACTAAAGTCATGCTCATTTCATTATCTAATCTCAAACTACCAACTACCAAACCATTTTCTTTCCTTTATCGTTTACTTTTTTTTGATTTTTAAACAATTTCTAGTGTTCTTACTAATAAAAAAATGTTTAAAACAAAGTTTTTCAAAAATTTTTAAGTCATTTTCAAAAACCATTGGGTTATCTAAGGAAAAAAAAACCGTCATTTGATAGACTTATTCAATTAGAAAATGAATCTGTGTGAAAGATTTAGTACTTACCTATTTTATGGTCTTTTAGATTGCTCTGATAGGGCGCCATCTTGTGCACAATGGTCACGAACGGGAGAGTGCACGAGGAATCCAGATTGGATGGCTGAGGTGGGGAGAATTGTGCAATGGAAAGTAAAGCCCAAAACTTAGTAGCACCCTAAGAATTCTAGTACTTAAATCTAGCAATGACAAATATAGTTATCGACACAAAGAATAACCTCAGCAAAATGTAGAATTAAGTGTTCCAGAAAGCGTACGGTTAAGTGATCACAAAGTACAAGCTAAGCCTTTGAGTCTTGTGCTTTTGATGACCTCAGTTGTTCTGGCAAATGGATCGTTAGCTAACTCCTAAAAAACACTCAAATATGCCAGTTAAAAGCGTTTGCTAAAGCACAAAGTACGGGTTAGATTTTGCGCTTTTATGAGTTCTTTGAAGTGTTTGTTACATTTAGAATTGTCGTCGAAGTTGCAACAAATGCCAGATGACGAGGGCGCAGGCTTGTGCCGTTGGAGCCGGTATAAAAGTCTAGCTTCTAGTTTAGATTAGCCCATTTCCAAAATGAAAACTGATTAATGATTTCAGCCACCACTACTCCATCGCCTGTTCAAAGGTGTGAGGAGATTTCGCCTGGTTGCTACAACGAATTCGCATGTTGTCCGCTTTGGGCTAATCAAGTAAGAACTTTAGAATGCTGATAGAGAAGATTTGATTAAAGATTGCTAGAATTCTTTTCCATTTCTAGGGACAATGCCGTACAAATCAAGCTTTCATGGCCTGTAACTGTCGGGTTTCTTGTGGAATGTGCAATCCAACGGATTACCCATATGGAGGTGAGGCTTGCTGAAAATAGCTTGCCGAAAATCTTGATTCCATTCAAAAACTATAATAATAAACTATTAGGTTGGTGCAGATGAAACTTCCGTTGGAACCATAAACAAAATTTATTATAAAAATCCTAATGCAGAACCTCAATCCAAAAGATATTCGCCATCATTATCAATGACTCTTTGCCATCTTCCACGCAGAGAATGGATGCCCTTTTCGAAGAACTCGGGCAACTGCGACTCGAAGAAGTTGGACACCCAGATTTCAACTTCTTCGCGGTTTTTGAATTTTTTTTCTGCTAGAGAGTGCTGCATCGACCGAAACAAGTGGTAGTCGGATGGGGCCAAATCCGGGCTATATGGCGGATGAGGCAGAACTTCCCAGCCCAATTCCTCGATTTTCTGCTGGGTGATCTTTGCGGTGTGGGGTCGAGCGTTGTCGTGGAGGAATTTTGTAGTCGCCGTGTTATTGCCTTGACGACGCAATGCCTGGTCCACGCGGCTCAATTGGGCTTTGTAGAGATCCGCCGTGACTCTTTGGCCCGAATCCAGCACCTCAAAATACACGAGACCTTTACTATTCCACCAAATACAAAGCATCACCTTTTTTCCGTGGACATTCGGTTTGGGAGTCGGTTTTGGCGGTTCACCGGCGTCCAACCACTGCCGTTTTCTTGTTGTGTTGTCGTAACATATCCACTTTTCATCTGCCGTAACAATGGAGTCGAGAAAACCGGCGGTCTTTGCGCGGCGGACGAGAATTCCAGCCATTGTAGCTCGAGTCGCTTTGTTTGCGTCGCTGAGCTGATGTGGCACCCATTTTCCACACCGATTCGTCTTACCAATTGCGTGCAAATGGCGGAGAATGGTTGTATGGTCGCAGTCAAACAGCTCTGCAAGCTCCCGAGTTGTTTGGCATGGATCCGATTCGATAGCGTTCTTCAACTCATCGTTGTCGACACTTTGAGGTGGATTCCCGCGTTTTTCCTCTTCCAAACTCTCATCACCGTCTCGGAAGCGCTGAAACCAAGTCCGGCATTGACGTTCGGACAACACGTCATCGCCGAATGCTTTGCACAGAGCACGATGAGATTCCGTAGGCGTTCTGCCTTGTTTAAAATCATACAACAAGCAAACCCGCACTCGAAATTTTTCGTCAACCATTTTCTAGAAGCTAAAAATTACTTCAAATTAAGTAAAACGCATAAGTCTTAGATATCAAAAGACGCGCAAAGAGACGCTCTTTCAGATAGACAAATATCTTCAATAAAAACTTTTATTAGGTTCAAAATGTAAACAAACAAGTGTGACGGAAGTTTCATCTGCACCAACCTAATAATAAACCTTTTCCAGCTTGTGTTGATTACCATCAAAGTTGTTCGGCTTGGGCCCGAGGCGGTGAATGCCAGAAAAACCCGTGGATGGAAGAGAATTGCCGACGCTCGTGTGGTACATGTTTCGCTCAATGGGAATTGCCGAATATGTGTGGAAGCACGGCACAGGCTGGGTGAGGAAAAGGAAAGGATTTATGGAGTGAATTGTAAGCTCTACCCGAATAGAGTCATCCACTCAGCACTAAAGTGTGCCACCATGACCGAGTGCCGCCATGGTCGAGTGGTTAAGAGTCTTGTATCCTGGTCGGCTTCGATCCAGGTCCCAGCGGCTAGAAAATCTGCTATTTTTCCCCATATATATGGGTTTTTTTAATACATCGTTTTGATTTACAAGTCCATTAGATCAAATGATGCGTTAAGACGTCTTTAAATCAAAGAATGGCAATGCTAATCTGCCTCGACCAATTCCCAACAATTTAGCTTGATTGCAAATCGCCGTCAATCCGGTATGAACACTCAGCCAGTGCCACAAAGTGGATGGCTGGATCCACGACAAAATGATGCCGGATGGAATGGAGGACAAAGGCAACAGGTAGAAAGAAGCAAACTTGGCTGATTGTACTTGTGTAGCTAATTGTAAGCTAAGATGTGATAGTAAAAGAAAAGCTATAACAAAAGCTGAGCCAGGTTGAGTACTGTAGCTGACAATTTTCAGGGTGGTTGGAATCAGCAACCACAATGGGGACAGCAACAATGGAACGGCGGAGGTGGTGTCGGCCAGGTCTTAGGCGTTATTTCACGAGCGCTTGCAGGAGCCGGTGGAGCACAACAAAGGCAACAACAGAATTGGAGAAATGCAGGAAGAGGACAAATGGGCGGCGGGGGATGGGGATTCAATTCGTGGGGAAGAAGGAGGAGGTGAGCGCAATTGATCGTATAGAGTGAGTCTCACGAATGAGGGCTTCTTTGGGCCACAGTATTGGGTTTGTTTGGAAAAGTACAGTAATCCAAAAGCAATCAAAATAAAAGATATTTTGTTTAAACCTCAAAAAGCAGGGTCTAGGATCGCTGTGGGGGGATTCATTTCAAGTGATAACCCACTAACTACGGACCATTGCTTATAGAAAGAGATTTGGGGAAAATTATATAGCTAGAAAATTATATAGCTAAATTATATAGCTGTATCTCCGTCTGCCAGAAAGTGAATGAATGAGTCATTGAGAGAATGGAGAGAACGCACAAGTCTTGTGCAATTCGTTCAAAAGGGAAAACAAACAGCGTTCTTTGTGTTCTCTCTCAATCGCGCACTCTCTGGCAAATGGGAAAAGACTGGGGCATATAAGTGATGAAAGAGGTGGAGTGAAAGAGCAATGGTCCGGAGTTGGCGGGTTATCAAACGAGAAAAATTTATCCGTCAACAACAACTTGACTAAAATGCTTTTTGCAAAGATCTAATTAGATTTGAGGGTTTTGGTACTTCAAAACACGTCAAAATTTCTATAACTTTCTATAACTGATATCAAAAAAACAATGTAAATGAATTGGATAAAAGCTCGAGGTAGTTTTTGAAAGTTAACACATTTTATAAAAGGCTTTTAAGGGATGCATCGTATTGTTGAATCTACGGTAAGCCAACCAAAGAGAAACTAGTACTAATTATAAGATTACGGTAGTTTTGACACATTTACAATGTAAAAACATCAATCTGACCGATTTGAAGCAAGTTAAAAGCGTTCTTCAAAGGCTACTTTTTCAAGGATTTTTAGACTAGCTAGCTCTTGAAAAATTCTACCTTTCTGTAGTAAGAAATCCTGAAAAAGTTGCGGTTAAAGTGGATAAATCTCGTTTTTTCGTTGCACACCTATTGACAATCGGACATAAAATGAACAAGTCTATTAAAGTTTAAAAGAGGCTTTAAGTCTTAAGGTACTGAAATTTTATACTAATATATATGTCGTAGCCGCTGACGAATTTCAGCCGCTAACGAATGAAATTTTTTTCGCTAGCCGTGCACAATTGTAATCGTCTTCCGTGAACATGGCTCGATTCAAATGAGCCTTTGATTTCAAACTATTTATACAAAACGCAAATCAGCAAATTAATCACAACAAGTGAAATAAAATTTATAACATTTAACATTTATAACATTTAACATTTATAACATATTAACGTTTATAACATAATAACGTTTATAACTAACAAAACATCAACTAAAATGCATAAAACAAACTGTTTATTTGTTGGTGCAGGAATTACTGTGATGACATCGGCTATTGCAGAGCATATTGGTTTTGAGGCACACACATCGTCCATTCGTGCATCCATTTGTGCAATTGCAATTGCGAGTATTTCCTTTGAGATCCCGTGATAATCTCCTCGCAGTTCTTTCCACATCAGGTCCCGGCCGGCGTGTCCCAGTCTTTTGTGAGTTGACGTCAAAACATCGAAGAGTTCCTCTTTCTTGACGACTCGTTTTGGCTGTTCGTTCTCTCCTTTATCTCCATGATTGTAGAGTATTTTTGATTGCTCAATACATTGAATCGAGTAACGACGTGCCCAATTCGCCTCTTCTCTCGTTCGCTTCCGTTTCTCGCTTTCACTTTCACTTGACATTGTTGTCAATCTGTTCGCAATTTCGTCGTATTTTTTCGTCGTTAGTATATGCGTTCGCTTTTTCAGAATTTGATACGCGTCAAGTTGGTTGAGAAATGAATTCATCCTGAAAAAAACAAATATAATAAAGCAAGTATAATGAAACCAAAGCATAATAAAAAAGCAGAAAGAAAATTAATCCGAAATCACTGATAACAATGAGGAGGACTCGTCCCGGAGGACCCAATCTCAGCAAAGGGGTATTTTGAAAACTTTTAATAGCTCGCTTCAAAATCAAATTTTTCTCTTTCTTTTTTTGTGTAAAAAATTTGAAACCAAAAACGTGGTAAGGTCATTTGAATCTAGCCATGTTCGCAGAAGCCAATTACAAAGATTTCGTACACATCTAGTGAAAAAATTTCATTCGTTAGCGGCTAGCCGATTACGAATGATTCGTTAGCGGCTAGCCGATTACGAATCATTCGTAAACGGCTAGCGAAAAATTTCATTCGTTAGCGGCTAGCCGTTAACGAATGATTCGTTAGCGGCTGAAATTCGTCAGCGGCTACGACATATATATATGTTACGTCCGAATCTGAGGAGACGTCCATCTCCGATCCGGACGTCCGAATTTGAGGAGATTCATTCTCCTCTGAAACGGACGTCCGACTCAGAGTCGAACGTCCATCTCTGAGTCGGACGTCCGTTTCAGAGGAGAATGAATCTCCTCAGATTCGGACGTTCGGATCTGAGTCGGACGTCCATCTCTGATTCGGACGTCCGTTTCGGAGGAGAATGAATCTCCTCAGATTCGGACGTTCGGATCGGAGATGGACGTCTCCTCAGATTCGGACGTAACGTATGTATAAGTTTATGTTTTTCACTAATATGTATCGATGTTTCAGAGATGCTTCCGCTCAATCTCCCTCCGGAACACCAAATGCCGTGAAACCAAATATGCGAAAATAATTATTTCCTAATATTTATTTGAATCGCTTTCTGATTTATCACCATCTTATTTGTCATTTTTTCCAATGGAGGCAATGATGAGTTCTCCTTTGCGTTTATGCTAAAATTTAGACGATTTCAGAGCTTTTCTTTCCCTTAGCTTACCGTATCCCTTTTCGGCTTAATTTTCGTAAAATATCGCTAGTTCTTTTGCGGAAAGCCTGAATTTATATAAAAATTTGATAGAAATTTCGAATTTTTTGACCTTAACAAGTATCAAAATGATGAAAACGTCGAGAGTTGGATATGCGGAAGTGACGGCAATCGTGTATGGGGTAAAGGCTTCAAGTCCTGAAAAGTTTGTGCATTTTTCTGATGACTAGAGCATGCCCCAACTGCCGTAGTTCAATCAGAATCTCTACCATAGATTTAATCGAGATAAATGTGAACCCATTAGCTTATTAGATTTCATTCGAAAGCTGCGAATCTCCTCTCCAAGTTAAGAGACGCTTATCGGAAGAATGCGATTGAGTTTTGATCTCTCGATTCAGAATTTGTTGTTTTGATTAATTTCTATTTAGTTTTATTGGGTTGGTGAATTGAAAACTGCGGGCTATTGTCATCTGTGACAGTTTGAGCACTTTCTTCAAAAGAAACCCATTTTGGTGTCAATGAAAAAGTTGTAGAGAATCAAAAATCAAGCTTATATCCAAATCTTCACAACGATTCAAAAACTGGTTTTCAAGAAATGCCAAATTTACGAATTTTCACAAAACTTGCATTTTAAGCTAAACTACTAAGTGTATCTTTTTGGAAATTTGGCTATAAGCTTAATTTTTGATTCTCTACAACTTTACTATTGACACCAAAATGGGTTTCTTTTGAAGAAAGTGCTCAAAATGGGACATCTCCAGTCCTCCATTTTTGAGTCTCACACTGGTCTCACACACAAACCAAAATCCTACTACGAAAGAGGAACCCGCAAATTGCCTGTAAAATGGGCAGAAGTCGTCAAGGATAATGGAGATATTTTCGAATGAATTCATGGTTTTATGTTGAATGAATTTTAGTTCAAAGTCCGGCAGTTTTCAATTCACCAACCCAATAGATTAGCTTACCTATAAACCCGCCAACTGTACACAGAGTGAATGGGAGAACCTCGGTGAAAAGAGTTGAAAGAAGCTGAAATAAAAATATCTTGAATTTTTAATCTAAGTTTTGCTTTAAATTACATTCCTTGCATACCTATCATATTTTTAAGAATAGCCGTCTGTCATGACGTGGGTTAAGTTAAGATATAGCCTAGTATTGTGTGTGTCGTTGTATTGTGATTGATATATTTCGTGTATGCGATAAATTCACCACTGGTAGCCCCAGTCGGTATTTTAAAAAAAAAAAAAAAAAAAAATATAAATCAACAATGAGATTATAAAGAACACTCTGTACAATTTACAAAGAGTTAAACCTGAGTGATGAGTATTTGAATGAGTTGCATGTGCACGTTCTTTGTCGCCGCTGAATGGACCGAGTTTTTCACGATTCCGTGTCTAAATTTCATTTTTCTTTGAAAATAGACATTTGAAAAACAATTTGACGATGACAATTGTGTTGAAGTTGAAGAGGAAACTCGAGATGATGGATAGAACGATTATACCGCATAAATCGATCCATCGAATGCCGTTCGAGTCCTGAAATTTGCAAGTCTTTATGTTTGGTTTTGTTTGGTAATGTTGGTAAATGTGTCAAAACTACCGTAATCTTTCAACTATTACTAGTTTTTCTTTGCTTGGCTTACTGTAGATTCAACATTACAATGTATCCCTTAAAAGCCTTTTCTAAAACGTGTTAACTTTCAAAAACTACCTTTAGCTCAATCCAATTCATTTACATTCGTTTTTTCATATCAGCTATAGAAAGTCATAGAAATTTTGACGTGTTTTGAAGTACCAAAACCACAAATCTAATTAGATCTTTGCAAAAAGCATTTTAGTCAAGTTGTTGTTGACGGATAAATTTTTCTCGATAACCCGCCAACTCCGGACCATTGCTCCAAACGCTTCACTTCTTTCATCACTTATATGCCCCACTCTTTCCCCGTTTGCCAGAGAGTGCGCGATTGAGAGAGAACACAAAGAACGCTGTTTGTTTTCCCTTTTTCACGAATTGCACAAGACTTGTGCGTTCTCTCCATTCTCTCAATGACTCATTCATTCACTTTCTGGCAGACGGAGATACATCTAGCTATATAATTTTCCCCAAATCTCTTTCTACAAGCAATGGTCCGTAGTTAGTGGGTTATCACTTGAAATGAATCCCCCCCACAGCAATCCTAGACCCTGCTTTTTGAGGTTTTTACAGAATATCTTTTATTTTGATTTCTTTTGGATTACTGTACTTTTCCAAACAAACCCAATACTGTGGCCCAAAGAAGCCCTCATTTGTGAGATTGATTCCATAAAGACGGCGAATCTCGGCTCCTCGATTGCCAAGGCGTTCGAGATTTGGCTGAAAAAGCTATTGCTCATCAATTATTAGCAAAATAGATCTATTTACATCTAGAAATATTGAATTATTATGTTTTTTTCTCAAAAAAGTAGCAAACTTTGGAATCTATGTCTGCCTTGTCAGGCCTAGTCTGGCTTACAGCTTCTAAAGCCCGTTTGTAACCTCCCAACAAGCACTCCTTTGATAAAAACAAATCAAAGCTAACCAGTTCAAATTTTTAGATTACTTACATTCATCATAAAAACAATACACGCCATCCAAGTGGATCCGATTGAAAACGCGGAAATGACAACAAGAGAAATCCCAGCGAATGTGTTGAAGAGAAAAAGGTAACGACTGGAAATTGCTTTATGAAAAAACCCTCCCTAGAGATTGAGTGAAACTAGAATTCTTGTTTATGTTTTCTGTTCTCAAAAACAGGAAGAGACACTAATTTTAACTTACTCTTAACTTACTCTGTAATTGTGCAATATCTATACAGTGAGTGCACCGAATTAAAGGCAAAACCAATGGCAAAAGAACCATTCTGGAAGACACAACCCCAAAAAGAGAAACGTTGATCGATCGAGAAAAGATGAACGCTGAAGACGGAATAGCCTTGGGAATCGTTGACAATTGTCTGAAATGATGTCTCATTGTAGTGGTTTGCTTGCAGCAAGTTTTTATTTACAAAATTTTAGAGTCAAGTTAGCAATTATCTATCGAAAATAGAGCTCCACAGGTACTTGGGCTGTCTATCATAATATCTGTAATAAAAGCGGCTCAGACGTTTTCCCCTAGCTTCTAGTTTCCTAGTTTTCCCCTAGATTCATTTGAGCACTCTTCAATCACAGGTATTACGATAATATGATAGTAAATCGAGATCCCAAATTTATTTAACCGGCTAGATCTAGTCTCATAAAGTTCAATTCATGAGCTTTCTCTTATTCAGATCTATGACTTATTCGACTTTTTATTGGAAATTTGAGTTTAGAACAACCCTGCAGGCTCCCGTTTGGTAAAAAAGTTTGCAATTAATTTTGAAAAACAAAGACAAACCAGGATTCAACTTTATGAGATCAAATCAGACTTTTTTGTTACTCAAAAAAACATCAATTGTAGTGATAACGTTCATTCATTATTTTAATTTACACTACAAATATAATAACAGTTATATGATGTTTGAATCTTGAATTGAAGGAGTGGGAAAATTGGCTACAACTGCTCTTATCGTGCAATTTCAGAAAGAGAAAACTGAACTCTTTTAGCTTTTAAATTATTGGGCTGGTGAATTGAAAACTGCGGGACTTTGAACTAAAATTTATTCAACATAAAACCATGAATTCATTCGAAATAATTTCCATTATTATTGACGACTTCTGCCCATTTTACAGGCAATTTGCGAATTCCTCGTTCGTGGTAGGATTTTGGTTTGTGTGTGAGACAAGTGTGAGACTCAAAAATCGAGGACTGGAGATGTCCCAGTTCTCACACTTTCTTCAAAAGAAACCCATTTTGGTGTCAATAGAAAAGTTGTAGAGAATCAAAAATTAGGCTTATAGCCAAATTTCCAAAAAGATACACTTAGTAGTTTCGCTTAAAATGCAAGTTTTGTGGAAATTCGTAAATTTGGCATTTCTTGAAAACCAGTTTTTGAATCGTTCTGAAAATTTGGATATAAGCTTGATTTTTGATTCTCTACAACTTTTCCATTGACACCAAAATGGGTTTCTTTTGTAGAAAGTGTGAGAACTGTCACATATGACAATAGCAGTTTTCAATTCACCAATCCAATAGTTAGTAGTTTCAACTAACTAATCGTTGATTATGTAACCAAATCTCCTACCGGATTCACCAAATACATGGTGAGTGTGAAGAAAATATTGTACGCAGCGATGATCGTGAGGAAATTCGCGTATTTGCTTCGGATTCGCCGTTCGGTGAGCAAGACGAAAAGCAAGAAAATGTTCGCCGCCACTCCGAGAATCGTCAGAATTGTCCTTGGGGCCGAGATCGAGTCCATCAAATCTTTGAGTGGATGAAAATTTTGGAAATAAACTTTGGAAATAAACTCTTTGAAAATAAACTAATTCCTTAATTCGAGATACGAAGAATCGGCGATGTCTCATGGGATCTCCTCCTTTGTACGTCTCAGTTTTCTATCATTTATTCTTTATTCTAACTACAAAATTTCCTTGGGCAAAAGAGCAAAATTGCTGGGTTGATGGGCGATTTTTGCTCTTTAAATCATCGGGTACAGTCAGCGGAAGTTGATGAAAAATTGGGTGTTAGTTAACAGAGATTGATTAAAAAGATCAATACTTGGACAATTCAAATTTTCGAATGCCAAATGAAATTAAAGGGCTGGAAAAATGACAAAAATCGTCAAAAACATAGGAATTCAGCGTTTAATGAGGTGATACACTGGTGGTCATATTATACCCTCTTGAAAAACTCTCTTAACGACCCCTAAACGCTGCCAAATTAAAGTGCTAAAAGCATTTTCAACAAGCTCTAGTCTAAAACCAAAAAAATTGAAATGTTTATTATCTTTTTAAAAAATAGCAAGGACGGAAAAGACACTCAAAATGGTGGACAAAAGTATTGACACTTAGCTTTTCCTTTATTTTTTCTTGTTTACATTCATGTTTTGATGACTTTTAAAATATTTAATTTTAGTGCCGTATCTACTGACTCAATCAAAGAAAAGATCGTTGAGGTCGAAGAATGGAATGAAAACAGCAGATTTGTGAACAATTTGGATGCAGGGAGCAGGTGAAGACTTAAACAATCAAAGATTATCGGTTCTCTACACGATGCAAAATCGGTCGAATCCATCAACAACAATGCCGAGATCGTCGATTGGGGAATTCAAAAGGACCCAAGTTCACCTCGACCGACAAAAGCCGCCTGTATAAATCACATTCAGCACAGATATCTCAGAAGGACCGTGAGGAGGCGACTATCAAGCAAAGTTGTACGTGACGACAATAAAGAGCCAGTATGACTCCTCGGTTGGAAACTTCGTTTGCCTTTGCTCGGAGGTACCAAGTTGGACGAGTGACGATTGGAACGAGTTTTCTCGATGAGACAAAGTTAATCTCTATCAGTCGGATGGACCTCATTGATCAGGCGACGATTGGAAGCGGTTATTACTCAAGTACATCAAACCCAGGTTCGATTTGGGGGTGGAAATATTATGTGCTGGGGTATGAATTTCTATGTTTTCTTCGTATAACTGTCAACTTGCAGGAGCGATGCAGAAATGTGGTCGGTCCACTTGGATGATCAATTCAACCATGAAGTCTCAGCGTACATGGGAATACTTGGCAAGTTTCTCATTTGCGAGCAAAAATTACCTCGGATGGTTGTACTACCAGGACAACCGCATTCCACAAGCAAACTTATTATGGGACCTGTCGGAAGACCTGAATGGAAGAGGGTAGATTTCGGGCTGGTTGATTATGGTGTTTCTTTGTTGCATCTCCCTTTCACAGATTTGAACGTTATCGGATCTTGTTCGTTGTGAAAGGAAATTGGGGAAACATTTTCGCCCAAGGGGCTTGGTTTAGTTTGTCTGGTAATTGGTGTTGATTTGGTGACTGTGAGGATGAAAGTATTCCAAGGAGGGCCAATAGCTATATTTCTGTTGTTTTTGCAAGGTGTCATTTTTGTCCATTTTGGGTGTCTTTTCGTTTGCTATTTTTAAAAAGATAATAACATTTCGTCAATTTTTTGTGGTTTTAGAGTAGGTTGTGGTGCTTGCTTTGAATTTGGTGCCTTTTAAGAGGGGCAATCGTTGAGAGAAGATTTTTGCAAGAGGGTACTAATACATATGACCACCAGTGTAGCAAAAGCGCAAGTATTTTTTTTTGCGCCAAATTTGCGCTTTTCAACACACTTTCCTACCAACTGTGATTGTTTATTTTTATTTTTTACTACTTTTTCTCGTCGACTATGCTCACTACTTTGACGCTAACACCTTTTAGAAAAGGCTTTTAAGGGATACATCGTATTGTTGAATCGACAGTAAGCCAAGCAAAATGGTTTAAAATCGATATAAAGAACAAAAAGCCAAATCGATGACACAAAAATGACTGCTTTTGGGGCTGTATATGTATTTAAACGTGTTTTCTAATTGAAAACAGTATGAGTTAAAAGCAGAAAACTGAAAAAGAGTTGGTTAGAAGTTGAGAAAATGTGATTTGTTACAGTGATTTTCATAAGCGTATATTTGGCACAAATGATACGCGGCGCAAAAAAAACGTGGAGGTTTTGCTAGCACCTGATAGAGGCTGCTTCTCTGTTCATCTTTTTCATTTTCCATTGTACCAGCTTTTGTTTTGAAACGCAGCGCTTAGATTTAACGTATAAAAATCGGTTATTGATACCCTTTCTTTTAAAAAAAAAGCTGAATTCGGAAACCGAAAATTCACGCTTTTTTCTAGGGCTCAATGACAAAATATCCCCAATTTTGCAAGTTTGATTCACAAAAAACGGCGTATTTTTCTCTCTTTTCACCACTCACATTTCAAATTTTAACATTAGCGCCCCCGAAATTTCTTTTCGGTTCAACAGCGAAAGCATTGGACTCTCATGAATCGAGCGACTCTTTTCGGACACATTTTGTGCCTTTTCCCCGGTTTTCTCTGATTCTCGCCGAATTCCTCGTTGTTTCTATCCATTTTTCGCATTTCTCTCAAATCTCTCCATTTTAGAGCCTATCTCCGATCTTGGGGACCCCTCTTTTGGAGTGAAAATTGCCGTGTGTGTGCCCGTGCCGTCCACCCCCGATGATCGCTCGCACGATTTGCCCACGCGCAGCTACCCGAGTCTGCCGACAACTTCGTCTTATTCATTTAGCGACAAGGTTTTTCCTTTCTTCATCTTTTAAAATGCATTAATGTGATGACGAAAGAGCGGCAAAAGACGTTTTGAATAGAATATAAAGATGTGTTGTTGTCAAAAAATAATTCATTTTAATCAGTTTTTGAAAATTTTGAGCTAAAATTTGACAATTTGACTTATATCAGCTTTGTTTGTGTAATCTAAAACAAATCAATCTAAAATTCTTCAAACTATCTAAAATTTTATCATTTTGTTTGTAGATGAAACCAATGTTAGCTTCAAATAAGGATAAAACATTGTTGCTTTTTGTCTTAAAAGCTCTTATTTCGTATAGCGTTTCATCAGCTAATAAACTATTTATCATGAATTTACCTATTCATATTTAGAATGGCAGCCCCCGGTTATCGACTTGAACGCGACACTTTTGGCGAACTTCAAGTACCCAATGATCGTTATTATGGAGCGCAAACGGCAAGGTCGGCTATACAGACTTTTGTTCATAATTAAAAATACATTGTGGATTTTTTAAAATTTAGGTCAATGATGAACTTCAAAATCGGTGGCCCCGAAGAGCGAATGCCCCTTCCAGTTGTGCACGCGTTCGGAATCTTAAAAAAAGCGGCCGCTATTGTGAACGCCGACTATGGATTGGACAAGAAAATCGTTGACGCCATTTCTCAAGCCGCTGGTTAGATTGTTATAAAAAGTTTGAATTATAGAATGTTTTTTTAGATGAGGTCGTTGCTGGGAAACTGGACGATCACTTCCCGTTGGTTACTTGGCAAACCGGATCGGGAACTCAATCGAATATGAATATCAACGAGGTGCATTTTGGATATTTTGCATACAAACAGAAGTGCAGAAAATTAATTGAAACTTATTTTACAATTGTATTTCTAATTCAGGTGATCTCAAATCGAGCGATCGAGATTTTGGGCGGCGAATTGGGATCGAAGAAGCCGGTGCATCCGAATGATCACGTCAACATGTCACAGAGCAGCAACGATACTTTCCCCACTGCTATGCACATTTCAGTCGCAAGGGAGGTAAATTCTTTTGTGGTATTATTTTGCTTTAAATGTCTTTCTATGCATAGTTTTTCTAATTTTAAATGCTTTCATTTTGTCTATTCTAGGTTAACTCTCGTCTTCTCCCTTCCTTGAAGAAACTCCGAGAATCGTTGAACAAGAAAGCCGTTGAATTTAAAGACATCATCAAGGTTTGTTTGTTACACAATGCCATTGATTACAAGTATCATTTAGATTGGACGAACCCATACTCAAGATGCGGTACCATTGACTCTTGGACAAGAGTTCTCGGCATACGTTCAGCAGGTTGGTTTTGCATAGACAAAGAAAGTGACACAGTTTTGCGGATAAAGCAAATTTCATTACAATTTTTCAGGTTGACAACGGAATTGCCCGAATTCAAGGAACATTGCCTCGACTCTACGAATTAGCGGCTGGAGGAACCGCCGTTGGAACTGGCCTGAATACGAGAAAAGGATTTGCCGAGAAAGTTGCTGAGTAAGTGTAAAAACATATATTTATTATTTTGTGGATTTCTAGTACTGTTTCCAAGATCACCGGACTTCCATTTGTAACGGCTCCCAACAAATTCGAGGCATTGGCTGCTCACGATGCTTTGGCTGAGGTTAGCTTATGTTTCACTTATCACGTCCTTTGTATGACAAAAGTAGATTACTGGTATTCCGTATTGTATTGGAAAAGCTTTTGCAAATCTTTTTTGTTTAGGTTCACGGTGCTTTGAATGTGCTTGCGGTCAGCTTCATGAAAATCGGCAACGATATTCGATTCCTTGGATCGGGTCCACGATGTGGTCTTGGAGAGCTTTCTCTTCCCGAAAATGAACCCGGAAGCTCGATCATGCCTGGAAAAGTAAATTATAGGCATCTTTAAGCGATTCATAGATTAAAATAATGCAGTATACTAACTTTAAAAGTATATGAGTAGATACAACAAATACATAAAGTTACCATTATACTTAATTGGGTTGCTTAGGTCAATCCAACCCAATGTGAAGCCATTACGATGGTTGCTGCTCAAGTGATGGGAAATCAGGTACAATTTTGTTATGTTGTTGATACGTCGTTACTGTCAACAATTTTTAACGTTTTTTCTTAGGTTGCTGTCTCTGTTGGTGCATCAAATGGACACTTTGAGTTGAACGTCTTCAAACCACTTATTGTAAGTTCAATGTTGAAAGTGAATAACCTAATCAAATTTAATATATAAATTTTGTTTTCTTTAGGTTCGCAATGTTCTTCAATCTACTCGTCTCTTGGCTGATTCTGCCGTCTCATTCACCGACAACTGTGTTGAGGGAATTGAGGCCAACGTCGATAACATTGCCAAGGTAAAGTAGTTGATTTAAGTTAACCGAAGACTAATTGGGAATATGTATATAAACATGTCGAATTTGTGGCTAAAACATTTAAAAAGTTCAACGCAAACCTAGGCACTTGTTTATGCCGTAGATATGGACGCGATATTGTAACTTTATTTATTTTCATTTTCAGATCATGCGCGAGTCACTTATGCTTGTCACCGCTTTGAACCCACATATTGGATACGACAATGCGGCAAAGATCGCGAAAACGGCACACAAGAACGGCACAACACTTAAAGAAGAAGCGATTAAACTTGGTGAGACTTATAAACATTATCTTTGAATACCTTTTTTAGGTGTTTTGACTGCTGAACAATTTGATCAATGGGTCCGTCCGGAGAACATGCTTGGGCCGAAATAAAGCAACTTTTTTTATACGTCTTAGTCGGTTTCGCTCGTACTTTTAATGGTTTCTTTGTAAATTTTATATGATAGATGTGCTTTAGGAAGATTTGAATAAAACTCTACGTTGTCAATAAAAAGCTTAATTGTCGATTAAACTCTTGGAGTCTAAAATTTGTACTTTAAATACGCATATGAGGTTTTGACACAAGCACAATTAAAATGATTGCAAGGAAGCAAGGCAAACAGTAATTTTTACCTCTTGTTCCTAAAGACGCCTCTTTTCACACCAGCCAGACAAGCCCGCTTATCTTTACTTTTTTTAAAACTTTGGCTGACTCATTCGTTAGTCTTCTGGCACACAGCAAAAGATGGGGTTAAATAAGATCCGAAAAATTTCCACCACTCCATGCAAAGGTCCGGCATCGATGGGTTATCGTGGATTCGTTCCTCAACTCGTCTCCGAACTTGTTCTGGGCGAATCATAACCTCCATTGAAATAACTCGACCATGCTTTTTGCTTAAGTTTACTTTTTACGGAGGCTTTTCTGAGAATTATAAAAAGATTTATTTACAAATTGTATTAATTTCAAACTTTAATTATTGTTAGCACTTTGACTGATACTGTTCCTCGAATATTTCGTGTCGGACGCCTGGTTGAGTGAGCCGATCGAGAAAATTGTGCCTTTTCTAAATTTTGAGTCATTTCATTGCTTCAGAGAAGATATTCCATTAAATAATAGACTCATTTTTTAAGCTTTTCATTTGTTTTCTTTTTGAACTCACAATCCTTTTGGAGTCTTTTTGTAAACGATTTTGAAGATTTCCATTGTTCGGAGTCGAAAAGCCTAAAAGAATTCAAGATTTTTGCATAAAATAAATAGGAAATTTCAAAATTTAACACCATTTTTGATACCTTTACGAGAAAAACGATGATCAAAACGTCGACAATGGGGAACATTGTGGCGATGATCGGTGTTAGGGGACACAAAGAGGCAAGACCTAAAGGGTTTTTTAAGAAATTGATCACTAGGCTTTTATATTTCGTACAATTTTTTCAATTTCTCACCGAAAAACCCGCCGAGCATCACGATTGTGAACGGGAAAATCTCGGTGAACGCGGTGGCGATTAGCTGAAAGTCGAAATTGATACATTTTTTTTTTGTTTTTCGGTAAAAGAATACTGTAATTAGGCGAATATTCAAATTTGATAGCAAATTTGATAGAAAATTTCATAGCAAATCATGGTAATCTTTAAGTTTTATAGCGGCCAAAATCCAAGCAAACCTGTGTAGCCAAAATCTGCACAAGTTGCAGTTGGATGTTTCGTGAGGCTCGCGAACACACTGAGACTTTCACCAATTTGTGCCTGAACTTCATTGTGAACACGTTGAATTTTGTTATTTGTAATCAAAATTAACTCTAGTCTTTGAAAAAGAACGAGATCTCGCAGATATAAACCAGATATAAACCAGATTTTCGACTTTATGGGATCAGCTGATAGAATTACGATACTGATAGAATGACGATACTGATAGAATTACGAATTACGATACAACTTCTTTACTTACAATTTCCATGTGGTAAAGGCATTCACATTGAAGATGGCGCTCGAGAGGGAAATTAAAGTGAACGCCCCGGCGATGTCCAACCAGCGAAGACCGTGCGAGTCCTGGAGGGTTTAGTTTTTGTTGATAGAACCGTAGAGTTTGTTCAAGTCTAGCCTCGCTAAATCTGTACTCAAGAAACTTTACCCAATACTGAGCACCGGCAAAGCCATCGTTTGTAAGATTCGCGTGGAACATTTGATAGATAATTTGACCTCGATCACCCAAACGATCACGCGTTGGCTGAAAAGGTTTCGATAAATGAATATACTGAGTATGAATACACTCTAAAGTAATCTTTTTTAAATCCAACCTTCTGCGTGACAAGTACCAACACTAACCAGGCCACATTGTAAGCGATAAAGAAAAAGATGACCCCGAGGATCCCATAAAATGTCTCGAAGATCCACGGGTATTTTCTAGTTTTCATTTATTTTTGAAAGATTTTAGATGCCAACTGTGTAATTGTGCAATATCGATATAGGGTGTGAACGGCGGCAAAACCGAAACCCGTGGCAAAGGCGAGATTTTGGATGAGAGAAGCAAAGTAGGACCATCGTGCGCCATAGGGAAGTAGACGGAGGCTGAACATCGTGTAGCCATGATCATCGCTTACGAACATCTGCAAATCGGAAATTTGAATTGATTTGTGAAGTGACACATTTGAAACTAAAGCTATTCGGTGTTGGAATTGGAAGAATTGAAATTGGAAGCTAACATTCTCAACTAAAGATGCTTGGGTTCTAGAGTCTTTAAGCCCAGGTAAGGCTAGAGTCCAAGCCTGGTTTCTGGCTTTCCAAAGAAATCTTTGGAATAACCTAAGCCTAAGCCTGAGCCTAAGCCTAAGCCTAAGCCTAAGCCTGAGCCTAAGCCTGAGCCTAAGCCTGAGTCTAAGCCTGAGTCTAAGCCTAAAGCCTAAGCCTAAGCCTAAGCCTGAGCCTAGGCCTGAGCATAAGCCTAAGCCGACATATTCCAGTAAACTGCAACCCAACCCTTACCGGATCAAAAGCGAGATTGCAAAGCGCATAGAAGATGTTGTAAATAGCGATTAGTATCAGGAATCTCGAATAATTGCTTTGCAATCGTTTCTCGGTCAAAATCACATAAAGAAGGAAGAAATTGAGAAGAAGGCCGAGAATCGGCAAAACGATCAGCAAAATGGTCAACCAGTGCATCTGAAAAGGGAAACACTTGTTTAAAAAAAAACATAAATTTTCATCTGAAAATTCACAAGACCAACGAGAAAATGCTATTTGTAAGCTTTCAAAAGCTTTCAACTTTAAAGAGCAATCTTTTTTTGATCCTCAATTTGTCTACTCCAAATGTTTTCTCAACAAAATTTAGCGACTCAACTCAATTTTCTGCCTAGCATGCCTGAAATTAGGTCAAAATAGGCAATATTTTGAAAAAAAATTTAGAGAATAAACATTTTTATCGAATTTTCTGAAAAGCCAGGTCTGAACTTGACTTCTGACTTGAACTGATCCCGAAAAATGACTTCTGAAAGAACCCTGTTTAAATGAGACACATTCTACTCATGAGCAACTTATCAAAAAAAAAAAAGAAATAATGGCAAAACATGTACTAGCAAATGTTTTAGCTAAATCTTTTCAAGTAAAAAGTTCACAAGCTCAATGCAGCACAAAAGCAGACTTTCAAATGAGACTCCCGAATTTGTTTCCGCTCAATTAGTCGATTTTCTTTTGTCTGTTTTCAATTTTTCGACTATGCGCTTAATTTCCGCTTAATTTCGACATGGGAATTGAAATCGAAAATTAAAGTTTCCTCGTTTAACCCGGAATCAAATTTTTTTGGGCTAAAAAAATCTCTATGAATCTCCAGGTTCAATTTTTTGTTTTCCTTGTACAAGTGTAAACTTTTGAGAAGAGTAAAGATTGGAGAAATTTGTAAACGAAAGCTTTCTGGGGCACTGAAATGTGCTAGCGAGCTTTGCACGTAGTTTGTGCTTTGAAATGAGACAAACGCACCTTTTCTGAGGCATTGATTTTTGGGTTTATCATGTAAAACGAAACCGCTTCTGTAAGAAAGTAAATGAAGGAAATAGTGTGCCAGATGCGTGTTTCCAATTTTGAGTATCAAGCAAATAAAACAAGTAGGTAGCTGAATGGGAAATGAGTAAAATAGATGTCCGTGTTGATTAGTTTTCAAAACAAGATTCTAACAAAGATTTTACGGGTGACTGTAAATGTAAAAGTAACTGTAAGTGTAAAAGTAACTGCTTATTGAACTCGTTTTGAACCAGGAAAAGCACTTTTCGGAGCCGGTAATTAAATATCGGAGATTGGTAAATCAGAATGAAATTTGTTTTGAAAAGTTCTAGATCCTGATTGGTGAACGAATTGAAAACTAGAGGATTGTGCTTAGATTTAAAAGAAATCATTTTAGGTTCTCAAATGATACTGAATGAACGTTGATTGGACTGGCCGTTTCTGACTATGGGGGAATCGGGAGACGGGATCGCATTATTCTACCGATTTGGCTGCTGTTTGTGAGTGACACAGTGTTTTGGCGGAGCTTTCTGGTGTCGAGGATGTGGCCAGATTTAACGCGGGGATTGGTCCGGAGGGTTTGGACTTCGTTCTTCGGGCGATCGCTCAATCACTGACCGCTCCTTCCCCCTTGCGGATTCCAAACGGCAAATCTATCTGTGGGGAGTGTGCGCCAAATGGAGAGCGATTGTACGCGCGTAGACCTTCTGGCAGATCTTTTCTCGCAGACATTTAGAAATTCGAAAAGGGCACACCTATCTGTCGAGAGCGTTTGCCATATGGGGAGCGATTACGCGGCCGCGCAAAGAACACCACGCCAGTTATTTCCATAGAGATTTCTTTTTTGCCTTGTAGATACAAAAAGTTATTCAGCTGTAAACTTGTATCCGATGATTTTCGGGGTCACGAATCGATTGAAGCTAATCATTTTATTAAGTCTACCAATCCTCTTTCACTGAGCTCAGAAAATGGAGCTCTCATAATAGTTAACATTTGCTCTGACCCTTAGTAAAGATATAGCTTTCTTTTCAAACCGATTTTTGATGCCATATAATGTGGTCTGGAAACGATAAATCTTTACCGCAAAATGCAAAAAAGCAAAAACTTTTCCAAGCCGATTTTTGACGATTTCCGGTGTATTTCTTCGCGTTTCATCGGCCACAAAACTCGTTTTCGAAAACTTTTTCCAACTTTTTCTTTCCAGAAAGCCAATCGGAACACCCCCGCCAAGTGATTTGTCAGAAAAGGCTAAAAAATTATTTGAAATTTTGCAATTTTTTTGTTTTACCTGAAAGTATATAAGCATTGGTGATGAGAAAAAAACAAAATTTTCATATTTTTCTTATTTTTCACGATTTGCTCTAGCGGCAATGATTTTCAAGGCTTTGCTTTTATTTGTGGTCAGTTTAGGTTGCACAATGGCCTTTGCAACGATTAGAAATTTGAATTTAAAAATGCTAACGATAAAGATAGTAGGATTTTTGTTATTCAAAGGATATTCAGTTACAATGACTATAGCATCGACAGTCACTGATGGTTAAATTTCAGATTTTCTTGGGAACTATTTCCTGTCGACGAACACAATGGCCTGTGCAACGATTTTTCAGCCTCGATGAGGTACTATTGATTGCAAAAAACTAAAACTTCATTCTTAAATGAATATCAAAAATTTTATGGATTTAGATGAAAGACGGGGAAACGTATTTGATTTTCTACTATTGGAACGAGTGTCAACGATCGAATTGGGTACTGCCCGAGATTCAGAAAGCCGCACAGAAATTGTTGGATGATTATGGGATAAAGGTAAGATATTGGAATTATTGCCATAGGTACAGTACCTTTTATTTGGATATTGTACTCAAAATTGCATTTCAGACAGCCTCTCTTGATTGGGAGGATATCGGGATCGGTTTTATTAATGTAAGTCGTTTAAAAGTCTTTAAAGTTTTTGTTTTTAATTTTAAAAAGCGCTAAATTCTTTTTTCCAGATTGATCAACGTTTGGAGAAACTCCCAGGAGTGTACGTTCGATCAAGAGATGGAATTCGAATGAGATATTCAGGGAATCCTGTTGATGCCACTGCTGAGGGTTAGTTGTTAGTTAAATGATCTAAACAATTGAAAGAAATGAAAGAAAAGAATTTTAATTCAAACAAAACAATATTAGATAATATTTCTGTGCTAATGTTAGATAAGATAATGTTAATTTTTGCCTGATAGTAAAGAAGAGTCAGAGAAAACGAATGCAAATGTTCGCAGTGTCCGAGAATTTTAGTTTAAGCTCTTTACCGAGTATCTTTAGCAGAAAATTTAGAAAATTTAGCAAAATTCTTTAGAAGAAAAGTGACTTAAACTTGTAAAAATATTTGTTTTTGATAGGTTTTTGATAGGTTTTTGATAGGTTCGCTTCGTTTTTGGCGTTAGATTTGTACAAAACGAGCTTTAAACTGAGTGATCGATGAATTTCGAGAAATAATGAACACTCTGTGGACTCTGTGGAGTCTTTTTCGGACCAAACTTTACGAAAAATGAAAAATGATTACGGAAAAGGCTTTGAAAATCGAAAATCTTTGAACGAAAAGAAAAAAAATCACTAACCGTCGGGCCGAAGACGTTTAAAAACAAACAATCCTCGCTCGTTTCCAGATTTGGTGGCACTAAAAGTTAAAGTTTGAGTGATGTCTAATCACTGAGTGAAAGTCAGTGATTGAACAGTAAAAGTAAGTGATTAGACACTAAAAGTAAGGCTAATTTTGAATAAGATAATGTTAATTTTTGCCTGATAGTAAAGAAGAGTCAGGGAAAACGAATGCAAATGTTCGCAGTGACCGAGGATTTTAGTTTAAGCTCTTTACCGAGTATCTTTAGCAGAAAATTGGCATATTTTTCTTGAAAAAAATAGTTCTATTATTCAAAACATGAAAAAAAAACCCCAAATTTTTTCAGATTTTGTCAATTTCGTCTTGACATATCGCTTCCACGCAAAGAAAACCGATTTCGGACTTCACGATCATTGGGGAACTGCGTTTCGAGCTTAATCTAAGATAATATTTTTAAACTTTTAAATTAAAAAGTCAATTTATTCTACTTTGTAAGCAATTTGTAAGCATTTTATAAAAATCTAAGCTTTCTTTGTTTGTCTTTTTATGATTAATCCTCCTTTATCCTTTTTTATTGTCTCTACACAAAATCTCGAACTCTGGGTGAATCAAATGATACTCATTTTATGTACTATTGTATAGTATTTTATGTACTATTGTACTCATTTTATGTAGTATTGTACTAATTTTATGTACTATTGTACTCATTTTATGTACTATTGTACTCATTTTATGTACTATTGTACTTGTGTATTATTGTATTAGAACGTTTTTATGTATCTAATTACATTTATTTCAAGATTTTGAATAAAAGCTAGAGGAAACCCTTTCCAAAAGCACTCAAAACCCGGCACAACCGCAAATGAACTAAAAACGCTCACCCTATGGAATGCTTTTAAAAAGGGATTTTTTGATTTTACATAAAGAATATCTTTCAATGAATTTAAACTTTAAAAAGAAAATAAAAGATTAAACTTTTAACTGAACATTTTAAGGAAATATGCATTTAAAATTTTGTTCAAACTAAATTCTAAAACGCGCTCTTTTTGTCTTTTGCGAATATATAAAGCAAATTTATTTTTGATTTTTCCGTTTGATTTTTCATTTGAACTTTTGTTTTGTAATACTTCATACTTTTTATCTTATTATTTCTAACATTAATTTTTAGATCCGGCAATCTGAATGTGTGATGAGGTGTGCCCTGTTCTTCTCGCAATCACATCGCGACTTTCGTTTGGCCGAAATTGAGGGAATTTGCCGCGCGTTTGGCATCGATTTTGCCCTTTTCAACAAAATCGGAATCGATTCACCTTTACAAGAAGTTGAGGTTCGAAACTTTTGGTTGTTAGTTATAAAAAAAGATACAATTTATACTGAAAATAGGTAGCTTAAAACCGTAACAGAAACGACAATGTTTTTATAATTGGTTAAGAGTTTTTATATGATTGAAGCTAAAGCGACGCTTGATTCATCTAAATATTTCACTTAAGATTATTTATAACAGTATAACAGTTGTTTTTATAGTTTTTACATAATTGAAGCTAAAGCGACGCTTGATTCATTTAAATCTTTCACTTAAGATTATTTATTTTAGGTTCCCGATGTGAATATTGTCAAAAAGATTCTTTCTCGATCAATTCTTCTCAAGGCGGGCTACGAATATTTTTTCGATGCAACTTCTTATGAAAGTCTACATGAAAGGATAATAACGAATGGAAAAGAGTTAGCAAAATATGACGTCAACGATCAAACTTGGGCAACTCGTGTGAGACCTTTCGGCAAGAAGAAAGGGGTCGAATCAGTGAAGTAGGTGGTTTCTTGGAATGGTTAATGAATAGAGTTCTAGGCCCTTTCAGGTCAAATTTTTAGCTAAATTTCCACAAGAGGAGCTTGTTAGTATCAAATTTACCTAATCTCGCTTATAATAAACGTTTAGACAAGCAAGAATCGTGGCTGAATGGTTGCCCTTCCACTTGGCACCGATTGATTTGAAAGAACCGATGAATAAATTCGTCGTCTTGGAAGAGTACGCATCGGAAAAAGGTTCACTCCCAACGCGGTTGCATTTTGTGCGAGAAATTGGTGAAGGGCAGGTTCGAATCATTTTACGATTAAGTTTATTGTTGTTTTAGGGGTGGAGAAAGAATCGACTCAATCTGCCAGATAGATGTTACATCGGTAACACGACAATGGACCCTGAATTGGCCTTGATTCAGGTTGCAAAGTGCGTTGTTCAGTTTGATAAATTTTCATTTTTAGGCAAACATCACATCAATTCGCGCCACTTCACTTGTTTTGGATCCATTTTGCGGAACGGGGTAAATTATATTATATTATTATATTTGAAGGGCAACGGGACATCAAGTTCTATGCACAACATTTTGCTTGACTTTTTTTCTCATTTCTTTCGTGTGCCAGTAAATACTTTTTGATAGACTTTTTTATTACGTTTACATGATTTCTTATTTGTCGCTTGCTAATTAATGAATTTCAGGGGTCTTCTCGTCCCGGCTGCCGATTTTGGAGCTTCAGTTATTGGAACAGAAATCAACTATTCGGTTGGTTAACCTCTTCAAAAACATATAATTTCTAATAGTAAGTACCTATTTTACTTATCTAATGGTGATTCCATTCCTTTCACACTCCTTTTTTAGTTTGAATTTAGATCGGTTTTGCGCAGGGGAAATCGTCAAGACACGACAAGAAGTTGTTGACAAATGAGTCGGTGGAGGGAAACTTTATACAATATGGAACACGGGTAAAAATGTTTAATGTTACGTAATAATATCAAAAATTATAGGATAAATTCCTCTCGTTGATCTTGGCTGACGCCTCACTACACGATTTATGGGCAGCAAGGCCGATTTTTGATGCAATTGTCGCCGATCCACCGTACGGTTAGTAATTTTGGTGCTTTGAAATAAATTTACGGTTTTGTATAGGTGTTCGCGAGAAAAGTCGTAAAATTGGACCAAAGGAACGTAAGGAGCACTGGACTTTGCCGAAGACAGCCCCCGAAGAACATCCAAAACACTATCCAGAGAAGCAAACATACAATCTCGATTCGGTTTTTTCGGTTGGTTTAGGAAACTTATGACTCTGAATCTATTCTCTCATTTTAATTATATTTTAGGATCTTCTCGATCTCGCGGCCAAATCGCTTGTTGTTGGTGGAAGGATTTCTTTCTGGTTTCCTGTGGTTAGCTTTTAAAATAAAGGCCTACATCATTATTTTTTTAGTTACTGGAGAAATACTCTGACAACATTTTACCGATTCATCCATGTCTTCGACTGATGACAAATTGTGAGCAACGGCTGACAATAAGGTAAGAGTTATTTTAAACCAAATAATGAGTTAAATATTAGAAATGATTAAATTGCATGCAATATGCAACTTTATAATTTTATTTGAACATTCTTGTAACCAATAAAACGATTTTTTTTTAGAACAAGTCGACGTCTGCTCACCTACGAGAAAGATCGAGAACCGTTTGAAGATGAACGAGCGTCGACACGAATGCTTCAATTTGAGGAGAAATCTTTTCGAGAAGTTGCCTTGCAGGTAAAGAAGTAATTTTTTTGTTTGATTTTACGGGTATTTTATGTGATTGGTGGCTTTTATATTGTTAAGTTTGTTTTGTTGATTGTTAGTTTGTTTTGTTGATTGTTAGTTTGTTTTTGAAAGAATAAATTGTCAAAATCAAACTATTAGATACACGCAGGCATATTGAGCAAAAACGCAGGCGTTTTGAAGTTTGAATTAGTAAAGTATCCAAATTTAAGTACGATTCCAAAGCTAATAATGGTTAAAAGTAATCAGTTCTAAAACTGATCCGTTTAGATTGACCAATTTTCCCAATTGGATCAATAACTAGGACCTCTCTTTGTAATCGACTCCAATCTTTTTTTCCCTCAAATCTTTCCCACATCTGGCTTTTCAAGGTGTCCCATAGGAAATGTGGTGCATCGGGGGTCTTTGGTTCGTTCAAATGTGGCTTGAATTGTATTTTTTCCGACCAAAAGCTTCCCCCTCTTTTTTTTTCTTTTCTCAAATCTTTCCCTTTCTAACGGCCATATGTTTGCGCGCACCCCTTTCCTCGATTTTTTTCGACAAATCCACAAAAAGACCTCCCTGTGTCGGTTTTTTGTGCCCTGGCTCTTATCGTTTTTCTTCGATAAATACAAAAGTTTTCATTTTTCAACTTTAACAATTGTTTTTTAATCTGTTTTTGCTGGTAGCCGGATTTTTGCTTTCTAAAATGTGTGGTTGGGAAAAAGCTGCCGTATTCTCCGTAACACGTCGACTACGATAGTCACAAGAGCACCTTTTAGAAAACGTTTTTTTCAATAGGTTTACAGTCAATTAGAAATTTTGACACTGTAGAAATGTTGCCAAAGCATTAACAGTCTGTGAGATTTATGAACAACACAAATTCTCGGCGAAGAACGGCGAAATTTGGATATTTGTGGTTATGTCTATCCCCGTTCTCCACCAATTCCCCCACCTTTTCCCTCTTTTTTCTCAAATCTGTTCCCCATCACCATTTACAGATCTTATCATTCATCGAAAGATTGTGAAAAAGAAAAGAAAAAGGAGGAAAGAGGAAAGGTCATCATATCCACTATTCAATATTTACACCCCCTTCTCTCCCCTATATTTTTCTCTCTTTTCATATCATGTCTTGGCCTTTCCCCTTCTATGTATTTGATATCTTTTTATGCCCATTTTTTTTAGATTTTATTCTAAAACACCTACATCTGCACATCTGTTCTATCTTTTGCTTATTAAAGTTGAAATTACAGAAATTGAAGATTTCATGGATTTTAGAAAGTGTTCGGCCTACAAAAATAACCTGTAAGCAATTTTTAGACCGAACACTTTAAACTAAAATCGGGAGTGGGACAAATGCGACCTTTTTTTTTGCGCACCCGGACATTTGCGCACCTTTTTTTCCGCACTTAGCCCATTAGCGCACCTTTTTTCGCGTTTTAAAAAAGCTCTAAAAAGCTAATATTAACCAATTTCTATTCCAAATGTTGTTTTTCTAGGTAATTTGAGGGCGTAGAATCGAAATTTTGACATAACAGAGCGTGTGGAACCAATTTGAAAGACAAAACGGCTAGGTCCAATTACAGAAAATTGTTGATTTTTTTCTCTTTGTATAACTCGGTCCGTTCGCTTCCACAAGCTCTGATTAGCGCGAAAAAGGTGCGCTAATGGGCAAGGTGCGCAAATGTCCGGGTGCGCAAAAAAAAAGGTCGCATTTGTCCCACTCCCCTAAAATCCATTAAATCTTCAATTTCTCTTCCAAACTCGCACTTTTTGAATGAACTTTGAAAAAGCGCACACAGCTGCCGATTCGGGAGAAATTTTCTTTCGCGCACACGTTTTTTTTTGGCCTGTCCATCCGTCCGCCTTGCAGGTGGCTCATAGCGCTTTTTGCAGAGTTTTGAAGAAATAGTTTTGAACTGGGCACTGGCTGTAATTTGTTAATAGCTCAATTGTTGAACGTTTTTTTTTCAATTTAACCATTTTGATTTTGCCAAATTTGAACCTAAGCTTGACTTGGCCTTAGCTTTGATCTAACAATCAAGTCTTCATCCCAAATATGCTTTATAACCAGTCCATTCCTTTATAAACCAGACAGGCTAAAAGTATCCAAGTTCTCGTTTTACTTTAACAATTACTTTGAATCAGATTCGTATGTCTAAATCGTGAGTAAGAGTCTTATCATTTACCTCGAAAAGAACAATCAAAGCCCCATCAATTGTCTAGAGCTAAAAGAAATGAAAAGGGGGGGAAAAAGCTAATGTGCGGGATGATTTTTTTTTCCTTTTTCCCCGATCCTCACAAATGATTGTCCTTTGAGTGTAAAATAGCCGGGATGAGTCAGCGCTCCCGATGGATGCCGAGAAGAAGAGATTCAACGGGGCAAAAAGGAAAAGATGAACACGAATCGCCTATTCATATAGATATGCATATAGAGCTATTGTTATTTTTGAAAGAATTTCCTTACATTAGCCGTCGTAGTCGACCGGATAGGAGTCTTGTCTCCTAGTCGGGGGGTTAAGGGTTCGATCCCGGCGGCTAGAAAGAATGCTTCTTTTTCCCATTATTATGGATCTTTTTTTCTTAACAACATTGGGTAATAGGGGTAATTAAGGGTAAAAATTTCCTCCATTCTGTTGTAATTCATTATTCGTGTCGAATAAATCGACTTTTATTAGCCTTAGATCTTTGATCTTTGATAGGTTTATCAAAGATCTGAAAAAAACGCCAAGAACCGTACCATTGTTGAATCATAGATTCAAGCATTACCAGTAGATTAGGTCTATTAGGCTCAAACTATTCTGGGTGCAAAGATTGGATTTAAATTACGAAGTGAAAAGATTTGTAGCTAGATTAGAGAAAACGAAGCAGTTTGTACCTCTCCACCGGTTGACGGTGAAACATCACTGTATTGACTCGTGCAAATGACATCAGCGTGCTTTGTCGGATTTCCCTCAACAACATCGGGGTATGTGTTCGCACAATCGTAGGCAAAATAGCGATATGGAAGCCTGAAATTTGTCAAGTTATTTATGGGGAGAGGCTAAAAACTTTGGTTATTTCATGTCATATCTACCGTAAATACTGTAATAGTACCCCACCCGCCTCGTACAGTCGCGTAGTCGCAAAAGTTTTTTAGTATTTCTTATTTCTTTTTTTTCAAAGCACCCGTACTTTCAAAAGATTTAACTTTAGACATCCCGTTCTCCGCGCTGCTTTATGCTACAATGCGCGCTTATGTATCAAAAAATAGCCCTAAATTTCAGCTATTTTTTGATACCTAAGCGCGCATTGTAGCATAAAGCAGCGTGGAGAACGGGGATGTTTAAAGTTAGACTACGCAACCATCCCAAAAAAATGCGTTTTTCTCGACACTGGTTTATGCTACAATGCTCGCTTAGGTATCAAAAAATAGCCCTGAATTTCAGCTATTTTTTGATACCAAAGACACATTTTTTGAAAGTACGAGCGCTTTGAAAAAAAATGAAATACTAAAAAACTTTTGCAAACTTTTGCGACTACGCGACTGTACGAGGGAGGTGGGGTACTATTACAGTATTTACGGTAGGTAACCATTTACAGCAATTTTTCTGCTATAATACCCCTTTAGAAAATAAAAGTCATAGAAATTAAGCAATTAGTTAGATAAAAGTTATTCCCAAAATCAACTGATTGAGCATGGTTTGATCTCTTTCTCTAAAATAAGCGTCTGGTCATTTTGATGGGTCTCTCGAAAGGAAAAGAAATGATCGAAATATCGAGGGGAATCTGTTGCCCTGTCCCTCTCCCCTTTCCCTTCCTCATCAGGGTCATTTCGCGGGTCGACCATTTGTTATCAAAAAGACCCATCCTTCCCCCTTTTTTTAAATCCAAATCTTTTCTTGTCCGCTTTTCTTTTCTGCTTTTCTCTTTATCCACTTTTTAATACTCTTTTTTGATCGCCTTCCCATCTAATCGTTCTCTTCAGCTCCTCCTCACACTTTTCTCAGACTCCTCAATCTCAAATGTTTTATATTTGATTGGAAATCTTTATCTTATTATCTACTTGAGTATTTTGTTTTGCAGAACCTTTTTTTGAATCTAATGTTAGTACATTTGTTACTTTGAAATAAATTGCTGCTTCAATTTGCAATGGCTTTTAATTATTTGTAATATTCCACGAAAAGCCACATCCAATCTTGGCTTTGGCTTTGAAATTTTGGGTCTAGAAACATCGCGAGCTACAAATTAACTTCACTCAAGCTATGGAATTAGGTTTAGAATTAAGTAAAGTATAATAGGTTTGGTTTAGAGTTTGGTGAATAGGTTTAGGCTAGGTTTAGACTTAAGTAAAGTATAATCGAAGCTTGCACCATGTAAAACGGTTTTAGTAACAATCATTTTTCTTAAACACCTTCATGACAAAACCATTTTTATCTTGGCCACCATTTCAGACAAAAACTATTAGCTGTAGACCTGAAAATTTGTAACTTCTGGAGTTCTGGGGTAACGAATTTGAATCCGTTATTAGTTTTTGAGCAACTTTACTTCCAAGCATCACGAAACTTGGGTAATTAAAACAAATTGGAGAAAAAGGAGCGAAACTGTTTAGATTCTGTCTTATATCGCTAGAGGCCGTGTGCCAGAAGCCATACGATTATGTAAACATTAAAATTTTGACGTTTTTATTCTGGCAAACGGTTCTAGATGTAGGGCTGCACTTGGGTAATTAAACCGATGAAATTTTCAGAAATAGAGCAGCTTTCTTTAAAAACTAATGACGGCTTCGAATTCCTTGACCCCGAAAACCCTCTGGTGCAAATTTTTAGCCAAATTGGCCTCAAAAAAGCGCAAAATCCACGTACGGTTCACCGGTATCGTCGCGAATGTGTTAAGAGATCTTGAAAAAGATCGAATCGAATCGAATCTAACTTTATAAGATTCTAAAGTTTATTATTAGAAGACGAAAATGTTTCTCTGTTTAAAAGTGACGTTAAAAGCACAATCTATCTCAAATGATGTTAAAGCAAAGCAACAGCAAATCCATTCCAATCCATTCCAATCCATTCCAATCCATTCCAATCCATTCCAATCCATTCCAATCCATTCCAATCCATTCCAATCCATTCCAATCCATTCCAATCCATTCCAATCCATTCCAATCCATTCCAATCCATTCCAATCCATTCCAATCCATTCCAATCCATTCCAATCCATTCCAATCCATTCCAATCCATTCCAATCCATTCCAATCCATTCCAATCCATTCCAATCCATTCCAATCCATTCCAATCCATTCCAATCCATTCCAATCCATTCCAATCCATTCCAATCCATTCCAATCCATTCCAGAAAATGACGTTTATGCAAATGTGTTTTCCCCGATTGGCCTTGCCTTCTTTTTCCCCCAAAAGTTGCCCCTCGAATCTCGTGGAGTGACCCATTCGATGGTAACTTGAGCAAACAAGCTCTCCATCCCATAGGCTATGGTGTTCTTTATTAACTCTGCCTTTCTCGTCGCCCCTCTTGGCCCACCCTTTCCCTTCCCCCAAACGGTCTTGTCTTACAGATCTCTTCTCTCCAATCTTTTCTCTTCTCTGTACCAATCGACCTCTTTCCTTTACTCACCCCATTTCTTTTCCTTATCTATTGATTGTAATGGTGTAGGCTATGGTCTGCTCTCTTTACTCTATTCGGCTTTTTTTGCGCACAACTTATGCGTCACTTGCTTGAATTGCTATAAATCAGCTATACCTTTCTATATCTTATCTTTGACTACTTCATTAGCCATCGTTAGTGATATTTGAGAGCTTAAAACGTAGAAACCGTTGAGATCTTTCAGTAGTAACCTTATGCACTTAATTGAGTACTTTTTGAGTACCTATCTCTAGGTGTAGACAAATTTGTATTATTGAGCATTGTCTATCCGAAAGCCATGATGCTTTAGTGGTAGAGTAAAAGTTTAGCTCTTCGCTTTAGTGGTACAGTAACAGTTTAGCAGATCTAGCGTCAAACTTGAACACTTTGAACTTTCCCTCGACCTTTTTACATTTAAGTACCTAAACAATTCCAAAAAGAAGTCAAGATCTTAGATAACCCGATAGAGATTATGACTGGATTTAAATACGAATCTTGTTTTACAACTATCAAAAGCTGTAGGACCACTTTAGTGGTGATACGGTCAAGTTTTTAGAAAGAAAAGTTGGCTCTAGTGATAGAATCCTCACCCTTTGCTCACCGAGAAATTGCTCTACCACTGCTAGACTCTAGACTTTTGCTGAAGAGAATAAAAGGAAGAAAGAGAAGAAAGCTTACAACTAGTAACTAAAGCTGAAATGTTCTTGCCTTTTGAAGAGTTCTAAACAAAAGAAACAAACAAACCAAAATTAAGGATTCCATTAGGCAAATGAATTCACGTTATTTTTAAGATAATTTCCATTTTTACAAATTTTCAACAAATCCTTTGCCCACAATTTTTCCATAACCTTTTCCACTATTTATTTATCATTTTGCTAATCTCTTCCTTTCCACCAAAGCGTTCCTTTTCTCTCTTTTATCAGCTCATGAACTTCCCCCTTTTTTTTTCTCTTTGTACCTCAGAAAAGCCGACTATCGAGTCAAGAAAGCAAATAGGTTTTCCTTGTAACTTTTTCTTAAAACTTTTGCGATTTTTCAACAACTTTGATATGTTTATAACTTTGAAATTCGATTATTAGCCTACTTTTCTATTAATACTATTAATATTAATAGCCTACTATTAATCAAAATCAAATCAAATCAATCAAATCAAATCAAATTTGAATCAAAGATTTCCAGCGCTTCTCATTTATACCATCGGAGAAAAAGAAGAGCTCGATTTGAAGAGAAAAGGCGACACAAAAAAAAGGCAAATGTTTGGATTTGGAGGATGGGTTCGAGTCTTTTTTGGGACTCTTGCCTTGCTTCAATCTATACGAGCCGGTGAGTAAAGAAATTGTTTAAGATCTGAGCAAAATCTGAACTGAGCAAAGAAAAGAGTCAGACTTGTTAGATATAGACTTGTTAGACAATTTTCTTGTGCAATTATCCTTAAAATTCTTGGGTTTTGGTTCTTGTAGTATCAAAATTTACATTTATCTGCAATTTGATAGACAGAATGGCCAACAGAAGGCCAAAAAAAGTCTAATTTCTTGATTCAGAGTGTACTTTGAAGTCAAAAATGAAAATGCACCAAAAAAACGCATTGCTTTCTTCATTTTTCTCGCAGAAAGTGTTCAGAAATTGTTAAGATCTGAGCAAAGAAAAGCAAAATAAAGACTATGCCAGAATAGATGCGTTTCTATTTTTAAGTAAGAATTTATGCAGTTCGATTCGAAATATTAACTTTAAAGTGAAAATAGAATACTGATAAGTTGGAGTTGGAGTTGATGACGATCAGGCTTTAAATTCAGATGACGATCGATGCCGTGATCGGTCTTGTTATCCGGTGACAGGGAATTTGTTGATCGGACGAAAACAGCAACTCTCAACCACATCAACTTGTGGATTGACGGGAAGACAACGGTGAGCTCAAAAAAAAAATGAAATGCTTACAGTAAACTCTCTTAGATTTTGTATCGTTTCCCATTTGGAGGACTCGACGAAATGTTTCTATTGTGATTCGCGGCAACCGTGGAGTCCGAACAGAGATCCGGGAAGGATGTCACACAGGTGATTGGCCGAGTTCATAAAACAATTGTTAGAAAGAGCAATTCATTTTGATTTGATTTGATTTCAATTTTCAAATGAAAACTAAACTTTCAGAGTCGAAAACGTAGTCACTGAGGCTTTCGAGGACAAGACGAGGAGCTGGTGGCAATCCGAGAATGGACAACAAAATGTAAGATTGGTTTTTGGAGCGCAAAAATAGGGTTGAATGTCTGTTCTTTGTGCTCAAATGCAAACCTAAACGCACCCTTTCTCGTGCACTCAAGACTTCAGTTTTCTGACTTGAACTGAAGAAGAAAAGTGAAGGAGATGAAGAGAAAGCAGCAAATACTCAGACAATTCTAATCTCTAGGTCTCGATTCGTTTGGATCTTGAAGCTGAATTCCATTTCACTCATTTGATCATGACGTTTAAATCATTTCGCCCAGCCGCAATGATCATCGAACGATCGGCCGATTTCGGGAAAACTTGGTGAGCTTGGGATAGAAAATAAATTACCGTAATTATTCTAAATAATAGCTAGTCAGAATCTCGTGAAACTTTAAACAAAACAACAATAAACATATTCTCACTTAGAAATAGCCTACCGTAAATACTGTAATAGTACCCGACCCCCATAATGACGGTGCGGGGCGTTGCGTAGTCTAGCTTTGAATGAGTTTTTCTCGACACTGGTTTATGCTACAATGCTCGCTTAGGTATCAAAAAATAGCTGAAATTTAGGGCTATTTTTTGATACATAAGCGCGCATTGTAGCATAAAGCAGCGCGGAGAACGGGATGTCTAAAGTTAAATCTTTTGAAAGTACGGGTGCTTTGAAAAAAATGAAATACTAAAAAACTTTTGCGACTACGCGACTGTACGAGGCGGGTGGGGTACTATTACAGTATTTACGGTAGGTATGACATGAAATAACCAAAGTTTTTAGCCTCTCCCCATAAATAACTTGACAAATTTCAGGCTTCCATATCGCTATTTTGCCTACGATTGTGCGAACACATACCCCGATGTTGTTGAGGGAAATCCGACAAAGCACGCTGATGTCATTTGCACGAGTCAATACAGTGATGTTTCACCGTCAACCGGTGGAGAGGTACAAACTGCTTCGTTTTCTAAAACTTGACAACTCTCGAAAACTACCGTAATCTTGTCTTTACTTTGTCTACTTTCGGGTCTGATTTTGCGAGGATTCACAAAACGTATAAAACTAGATAGATTGGATAAAGCTAGATCAAAGTTTTACGGTAATTTTCGACAATTGAAAGCTAGAGCTCCTCTTGAGAAATGAGTTTCCTAAAAGGCACCGAAATTGCCGTAAACAGGCTGCCAATTTTCATTCGATCAGCTCAATTTTCGTATCATCGATTGAGCTTTGTGATAGTTTTGTAACGATTTTTAATACAAAACCTCATCAAATGATAGCTTTGTAACGACCGAGAAGATGAGCCTTGCTTTCGTAGTTTCCATTCAACTCCTCAAACCAACTTACAATTAGTTTTGGCCTTCACTCTGGTCCGGAATGAAGGCCAAAACCGGAAAGGTGGTCCGGTTACGAAAATTTCCGGATTCTCCTAAATGGAAATAGATTGCTTTCTCATTTCAACACAAAATTTATATCACGCAAAACAATACTTTCAATTAATCTGACAAAAAAATGATTCGAAAACGAAAAAGAAACGGGAGCTGATCAAAACAGCGCCACGGCAAAAATAGCCGCTCGACGGTTCAGTTTCTATGTGTTCCTTACTCTTATTGAATGCAGAATAAAATTATCTACTTTTTGCATAATTTGGGGAACACTTAAAACAGAATTGGTTAAAGAAAAGCTCAGTTAAACTCTTTTTGAGCCCTTTTTCGTTTTTTTTGGCATTTTCTCATCCCAGATTTGTTCTAAACGACTCCAAAAAAAATTCATCAGATAGCTCATTTTTTTCTACATCCAATGAAATTAAGAAACACAAATAAACTTAACCGCAAGCGCATTATGTTGATCGGCGCTGTTTGTACACGGCGCTGTTTTGATCATTTCCCAAAGAAACGACGACGCGGCGCTCCCAGCGACTACCTCCAAATGGCGGCGACGTCAATTGGAATGCGACGTCCCGCGAAAATCAACATTTTGTCTCGAAAAACATTTTTTTTTGTCTCTCTAAAGCTCATTCTTTACTTGACACTGGGGTAATCGAATGAAAACTTATGGTTCAATTATGGTTCAATTACGGTCGTCTTCAAAACTGCAAACATTTTAGAAAACGGATTATTAGTTGAGATAAATCTAATGGTTTCTCATTTTCAGATCGTCTACAAAGTGCTCTCCCCGCATATTCACACCGATGATCCGTACTCCCAAGAGACTTCTCAACTTTTAAAAGTAAACAATTCGATATAAATAAATAAAATCTTTATGCAAATTTAATAGATAATAGATTTGAAAATAGTTTATCTATAGATAAACTAGGGGGTGGGACAAATGCGACCTTTTTTTGCGCACCTGGACATTTGCGCACCTTTTTTTTTTGCTGGAAAAGGCCTTAGAAAAGGTCGTAGAGCTTCAAAAATATTTCCTTATAAGGGAATCGTATGCGTAGATTCCGAATTTCGACAAATCACACCTCGCTGACACGTCAAATTTGGGCTAAAAGGCAAAAACTGCGGAAAAGCGTTAAGTTGCGTAGTTTTTGCCTTTTAGTCCAAATTTGACGTGTTAGCGAGGTGTGATTTGTCGAAATTCGGAATCTACGCATACGATTCCCTTATAATGAAACATTTTTGAAGCTCTACGACCTTTCCTAAGGCCTTTTGCAGCAAAAAAATGTGCGCAAATGTCCAGGTGCGCAAAAAAGGTCGCATTTGTCCCGCCCCCATAAACTATTTTCAAATTTCAAGTCATTGTTTTTTCAGATTACAAATCTCCGCTTTAACTTCACAAAATTGCACACCCTTGGCGACGATCTTTTAGACTACAGGTAACAACAAATTTTTGCAAAAAATTCAAAAAATTCGAAGAAATCTCCATAGAAACTTGCTTAAAACCTTCAAAAATAAGAAACTTTTATATTTGATAAGATTTTGATCGAGATTTTTACACAAAATTTCAGTTTTCATGGTCGTCGCAGGTAATTGATATCAGTGCAAACTTTTGCTCGTCTTTTTCTCAGTTCAGATTTTATCTCTCAAATCTTTTCATTGTTTTTTTTTTTTGATCGATTTCACTAATTGAAGCATGAAAAATAAAAGAAAAAGACTTTTTTGTGTAAATTCAAATTTCAGACCAGAAATCGATGAGAAATACTACTATGCGATTTATGAGATTGTCGTTCGAGGATCGTGCTCGTGCTATGGACATGCGTCGAGGTGAGGGGGAACATTACCTTAAGATTACGAGAGTTTTTTTCTTTGTGTCTTGACATTGTGCTAAATGGGAGAATGGGAGAATTCCTTGAATGGGAGAATTTACTTGGACGGTGCAATAGATTCTCCCTTCTCTCTCTCCATTTTTCTCTCCAAGTAAAGTTTATGGCGTGAGAAAAGGAAATTCCGTGGATCAGAAAGGGTATGTTTTTGGGGGGAGAGAAAAAACTCTATAAAAAAACGAAAGCCTCAATCAGTTTGGCGTTAAACGAAAGTGTTTGTTTAAATTTTGATCAGCTAATTCTTTCAGATGTATCCCTATCGAAGGCTCTGATCCGAACTTCAATCGACCGGACATTGTGAGTGAATTGAATAAAACTAAATCGATAGCTCATATAGTTATAGGCATTCATATGAATTCCTTAGGTGCATGGCCGTTGCGAATGTATGCACAACACAGAGGGTTTGAATTGTGAACGATGTCGCGATTTCTACAATGATATGCCCTGGAGGCCGGCTGTTGGAACGGAAACGCATGAGTGCAAAAGGTGAGAATCGATCAGAAAATGTATGCCGAAAATTTTTTAAAATCATATCCATTAACCGAAAAGATTTGAAACATTTTCGGCTAGCCGACATGGTTTCAAACATTGAAAGAAATGACTCTTTTTCAGCAAGGCCGAGGGGATTTAGTATTATTCTTCTCGGCTTCGGCTACGACATATGTTCAGTCAAATATAGCTAGCTAGGTGATACAGTAATACCGAAGATCTGTACGGCTTCAGCATTCTGTCTCGCTACAATATAGCGCTCAAAATTCGTTTTTTTTAGCTTTAATTGAAGAAGTTGACGAATATTTGGACTTGTGGTCTTTGATCTGACATAGTGAAACCTAAAGCTTACAGTACCTAGCTGAATAGGGTTTACAGTACCTAGCTGAATAGGGTTTACAGTACCTAGCTGAATAGGGCTTACAGTACCTAGCTGAATAGGGCTTACAGTACCTACCTAGTTATACAATATTCTAGATGCGAATGCAATGGTCACGCGGCTCGTTGCCATTTCGATCGAGGTGTCTTTGAGTCAAGTGGTTTGTTTAGTTTTATCTTTTTAAAAATCAATTTTATTCTTTAGGTCAAGTCTCGGGTGGTGTTTGTGATGATTGTATGCACAATACACAGGGAACACACTGTGAACAGTGTAAACCCTACTTTTACAGGTACCGTAATCCATAGTTTATGTGCTGGGCGAAACACAAACCTTCTGGTGTATTTGTTTTAAATCATTTCAACAGAAGCAATACTAGATGTTGTGAAAAAAACTGAAGAATTGGGTGAGCCGAAGGGCTGCGTTTCAACGTTTGAGCACAAATCTAGCAATTTACATTTTTATATCGATTCCAATCTCAGTATTATCATAAAATTTATCTAGTTTTATCGATTTTTATATTATTTCCAATTCTAGAGATCCCCTCCGACCGATCTACGATCCAAACGTTTGCTTGGCATGTCAGTGTGACAAAATTGGATCGCTTTATGATGTAAGTATCGAAAAAAATATCTAGTTTTAGACTTATCAAAGTATAAGTACTATTAGCTTTATAATTTCCATGTTTTTAGGGTATTTGCGAGGGTGAACAGGACGAGAGTCGAGGTTTGGTGGCTGGCAAGTGCTATTGCAAGAAGAATGTCGACGGATCGAGATGTGATCGGTGAGTGTGATTGATTGAATATCATTTAGAAGATAATAATCTACAAGTATAGTATTATTAAGCATTAGTATAGTAATAAAAAGGAGACTTTTAAGTAGATAAACTTTGTTACAGTAAAATAGTACAGGATTTTTCGCTGGCTCTGAGGAAAATCCCAGGTCTTGAGGTCTAAAATATATAAAAAGTATAGAATTTTTAAAGCTGATTATCTTAATGCCTTGAATTTCCACAATTTTCAGTTGCAAGAACGGTTTCTGGAATCTAACCGACGAGAATCAAGACGGATGCATTCCGTGTAGTTGCAATCTTCAAGGAACATACAACAATGAGGTACTGTAGATTGTAGACTGTAGATTCTAGACAGTATTTTAAGACAGACAGTTATAGATTTATATACTCCTTCTTTTTATACTGAATTCCTTTTCAGGGATGCGATAAGTACACTGGGAAATGCACTTGCAAGCGGCTCGTCACTGGAGAGAATTGCAATCAATGCTTGGTGAGTTGCGAGAAACTTTTACGATTTTTAAGATTCAAAAGCATTTCCTAAGTAATTTATCGATTTATTTTGTCTATAAATTAGTCTATAAATTACTTAGGAACGTAGAAATTATAGATTTATTTTGTCAATAAGTTTCCTTTGTGAGCTTTGTGCGCAAAAAGCTTTTTGGTGCTCCTCGCAGCCGATGATTTCCTCAGAAAGAATGCATTTTGCGTTTGCACAAAGTACAAGCAATTGGGGAATTTCAAAGTTTAGCCAGAGCACTACGGACTTTCGGATGATGTGGATGGATGTAAAGCGTGCGATTGTGACATTGGTGGATCGATGGATAACACTTGTGATATCACGACTGGACAATGCGAGTGTCGCGATGGATTCTCGGGAAGGAGGTTCGCTTGCAATGATGGATAGATTTTAGATAAAGCTTGTCAAAAGCTACCGTAACCTTTATCTCTAGCTTTATCAAATGAATCTACTTTAGTTTTTCTATCAGCAAAATTACTGTAGTTAGAAAAAAAAAAGAATTCTTTATTGAATCTTAGCTAAATCATAAATACATAAGAAAACTCTAGATGTGATAAAGCGGACAACTCGCGTTTCTGCGCCAACATCGACTATCACACGTATGAGGCTGAATGGGCAAATTTGACATATGTGAGTTAAAAAAAGAATTGTGATTGATGGCAATCAATTTCCAGGCTGAAATCGAGGTGAGAGAGCGACCGGATAATGAGAGAGATTTGACATGGACTGGAGAGGGATTCGCGAGAGTCAATGAAAGATCGCAGATTGGCTTCAAGTAAGTTGATTGGCTTCAAGTAAGTTGATTGGCTTCAAGTAGGTTGATTGGCTTCAAGTAAGTTGATTGGCTTCAAGTAAGTTGATTGGCTTCAACTAGGTTGATTGGCTTCAAGATTCATTTACAAGAGCTATACCTTTTCATTCAAATTCAACTCTTTTTTAGGATCACCAACTTGTACCAGAGTCAAGAGTACAATATTGTCATTCGATATGATGGACAAAGGGTGAGTCTGCGGAATTGGTGTAAACTTGATTAAACTTGATGAACTATAGTTAAAGTCAAGGTTATTTCAAAAGTTCCCTTCCAGGCTAGGCTAGGCAAGGTCAAGTCTTGGCCTGGATAGCAAAAAATCCCTAGGCCTGCCAGAAGCAAAGCCTAAGCCTAAGCTTTGCCTGGCTTGGTCGGAGATCTCAGCTTCAATTTATCTACGAATTTATCTATTTATCCATTTATCTATCTTTTTATCTATTTGTCTATCTATTTATTGAATTCTCTTAAAGTATATTTGAGTTTAAAGATCTCATTTCCAGGACCCTGTTGGCTGGGAAAACGTGCAAATCACGATCATTCGTCCGGATGATCCGAACCCAGAAGGACCATGCAAAAACGCGAATCCATCAGATGATTTCCTCATCGCACGATTGCATCCTGGAGGACGATATGCTGAGGTACGGTGTATATTTGAATATAAGCAAAAGTTTTTCGGAACTTATGATTAGAGATAACAGAATGTAATCTATTTTCCAGCTTAAGATAACTTTGAGCTTTCAGATCCGTCCAGCTGTTTGCTTGGAAGCCGGTGTTGACTACGAGATTCGGGTTCAATTCGGAGAGAAACGAACGGGAATCGTCAATGATCGGTAAATTTACAGTATAAATCGATTCACTCTCTTACATAGCACTAAAATAGTTCCATAATAAAGTAAAGAAATGTATGGCAAAGAATTTGGAGCCGAGGGGGATTCAACCCTCGACCTTCTGCTTACCAGCTAGGCCCTCTACCACTAAGCTATTCTTTCCCCAAGAAATAGAAAAGATAAGGAAGAAGAAAGCGAGGAAGTAAGAGAGGGGGGGAAAAGTAACTTTTTCAGTTCGGCTTTCATGTTGATCGACTCGATTGTGCTCGCTCCACCGACAGAGAGCCTCTCGGTAAGATTTTGCAAAATTATTTCAATACTTTTAACAAACATTTAGTGTACTTTAAAAATCTACAAATTTGAATTCTCTTTAGGTTTTCTCGTCAACCCCACGCGGACAACAACACAAAACCGAATACGATCGTTACCAATGCCGAAATGTCGCTCTCTCGCTGACTCCATTAAAGGATTATTCGGAGGTTTAGTTTAAAATCTATAAAGCTATCTATAAAGCTATCAATATCAAGCTTTTGTAGAGTACCCTTGTTGTTAGATCACTTTCATGGTTTACTGTATCTCAATCTCTATTCTAATCAATCTTTACTCTAGGTTTGCGCTAAATACATCTGTCCTGTTGCTGCGATGGCTTTCAATAAATCTCTCGATTGTGATTGCGATCAAACGGGATCCGTTTCCGGTGTTTGCAATCCACGAGGAGGACAGTGTGAATGCAAACCGAATGTCGTTGGAAGAAGGTAGAATAGAAATTTCAATCAATAATCGAAATCGAAATCAAATTGAAGAAATCAAAGTAACCATCATGATTTAGATGTGATCAGTGTGCCGTCGGAACGTATGGCTTTGGTCCATCAGGGTGCTCGATTTGCGCGTGTGACTCCGTGGGATCACTTCACAATCAGTAAATCATATAAACTTTTTAAAAAAAACATGACTTAATTCAGATGCGACAAGCAATCCGGGCAATGTCTTTGCCGTGAGAAGGGCATCTACGGTCGTCAATGCAATCAGTGTCAACCCGGCTTTTGGAGTTTCCCCGATTGTCGAGTGAGTGAGAAATGCCGAATATCGATTTTCAAATAAATAAGACATTCAGCTGATCAATAAATCAATAAATCCCATATTTTAGGTTTGTCAATGCAACGGTCACGCGAACATTTGTGATCAACAATCGGGTGCTTGTATTGAGTGCCGAAATCTCACCGCTGGACATTATTGTGATCGGTGTCAAGATGGATATTATGGAGATCCGAGGTGGGCAACAATCGGCACTTTTTTAGATTCTTGTATCGAAAATGAAATAATTATATATCACGATAGAACAAGTACCGAACACAGCCTCTTCAAATGAAAACAGTCAGTTGAGTACACTTACAGCACTCAACTGCCTTGGCTTGGACTTTACAGTACCTTTGACTCAATAGCTCCATAGCTCAATAGAAAACTAAAGCTATTCAATCAAGCAGGTTCAGGGTAACAAACCAGACGGTAACAAAGGCCAGTCCAGGTTTACCGTAGACCTAACTTGGTCCTAGCCTAGCCAGATCTCGCCTGGCTTGACCTCGCCTTTGATCTTAGGAAATTGCCTTTGACCGTATGAAAATGAAACATCGGCACTTTTTCGATTCTTGTATCTAAATTTAAATAATTATATATCACTATAGTACAAGTACCGAGCACAGCCTCTTCGAATGAAACCAGTTGAGTACTTACGGCACTCAACTGCCTTGGCTTGGGCTTTGCAGTACCTTTGACTCAATAGCTCCATAGCTCAATAGAAAACTAAAGCGATTCAATCAAGCATACTTTACTTTACAATCAAATTTAGACTCGGTGTCGGTTTGGCCTGCAAACCTTGTCCCTGCCCTGGTGGCCCATCGTCCGGTTATCAACACGCGGATACTTGCTTCTTGACTCGTGTTAATGGATCTCAAGATGTTCACTGTAACTGCAAGCCTGGATATGTTGGAGAGAGATGTGCTGAATGTGCCGTCAATCACTGGGGAAATCCGACAGCCGTTGGAGAGGAGTGCGTCCGATGTGAATGCAATGGAAATATCGATATGGGAGTAAGGGAAAATGGGGGAAAAGTTCATGAAAGTCGTTCAGATCGAAGGTTCTTGCAACAAAGAGACGGGTGAATGCTTGAAATGTTTGTATAACACCGAGGGAGCACAGTGTGAGAATTGCGTGTCTGGATATTTTGGTGATGCAAAGATTCGATCGTGTCAAAGGTGAGTAAAGAGCTTGTTCATGCATTTGTTATCGGCTAGCGTCAATTCAATACGTTTACAATACAATTGCATAGCTAGTAACTTTTACGTTACACAATAGGGATAAAAGCCAGGTCTAGAACTTGATTCAATTGAAACAAGAAGATGTCGGGCAGTACGTTACAATCTCGTTTACCGACTAAAGGAAAATGTACAATTATCGTATAGAATCAGGCCAGAGCTCAACCAGAAGCCAAGTACAGATCTGGTCCAGGACTTTTGTAGCCCAGGCTCAGAGTAACAAACCAGACAGTAACAAATGCCAGCCCGGGTTTACCGTGGATCTAACTTGGTCCTAGCCTAGCCAGGTAGCCATGTAATCTATATTCCAGCTTAAGATAACGTTGAGCTTAAGGCTTGACCTCGCCTTGGTCGGAGGAAATTGCTTTTGACCGTATGAAAATGAAACATGAAATCACTACTTGATAATTCTATCATATAAACCATTTCCAGATGTGTGTGCAATCACCTCGGTACCAATGCCACAGCGGGCGCGTGTGATCGAATCACCGGCCAGTGCCCTTGTTACCCGAATGTGATCGGTGGACAGTGTGATCAGTGCGCTGAGAATCATTACAATCTCGCCAGTGGAGAGGTAGACTGGGAGATGATTTAGAATAAAGTTGAAAATAGGGTTGCTCGTCGTGTGAATGCGATTCGAACGGAGTGATGATGGATCATACGGGAAATCCACAATTACAATGCCATCTCTTCGACGGGAAATGCAATTGCAAGCAAGGGAGAGGAGGTTTGAGAGAAGGAATTTGGGGAACTAGTCGAAAAGTCCGCCGGGGGTTTTTGTGGCTAGATGTTTGGCGGTTGAGATGTAGTCGTCGTGGCACAGTCAGGAGTTTTTAGTTTTTAGTTTCTACAGCCCGCACGAGCCTCTGTAGGGGGCTGGTTCGAGCCCCCGTAGTGCCTATATCTTTTTAATTTCTGATTGGTATAACTATATTAGAATTCGAGACTATTGGCCCAAAGACGGTTGAGAAAAAGTCCGTACAGACGGACGGACAAACCGACTTTTATATATAGTAGATAGATAGCTTGTGGGCTTGAAAAATCACTAAATGATTCTCATCAAAGTTTTAAAATTTCTGACCAATCATCAAATTTCCAGGAAGAACTTGCTCCGAGTGTGAAGATCTTTTCTGGGGAGATCCGACGAAAGCTGATGGATGTAAGCTGTGTGAATGCAATGCACAAGGATCGGCCACTGCTCAATGTCATCGCAATAATGGGACGTGTATCTGCTTGCCTGGATCTGGAGGTGAGTGTAGTAGGATTCTAGCTTAGTTTACTGTAATTGGTACTAGCTATTATTTCTCTTTGACTCTTCGATCAGAGTACGCAGCAGTACAATTTACTTTTTACTTTCCAAACCACTGATTTCAGGTCCTCTTTGCAACGAGTGTGCCCGTGGCTACACTGGTCAATGGCCCTACTGTCAACCCTGTGGAGAATGTTTCCATCAATGGGACGGAATTGTGCAAGGACTTAAGTCAAAGGTACTGTAGCTTAAAATCTAAATCTAATCTTAAAGTAGGTGGAAACTTTGATCAACACTGCTAACAACATCGAGGACACTGGAGTTGCCTCAGCTTACGATGAGAAATTCGAGAAGATGGAGGCTGAACTAGCGGAAACAAAGAAAAAATTGGAAGAGGTTGGAAATAGAGATGAATTTTGATTTAAAAACGGATATTTAGGCAAATATTAGTCAAGAGCATTTGGATGATCTTGAGAAGAAGATTGATCGATTGAGAGGATTGATGACAAAAGCTAGAGATCGTTTGGATTCCGTGGAGAGCATTGTGGTCAACGCGACACAGACCGTTGATTTCGCTGAAGAGGATTTGAAGAGCATGGAGGTGGGGAAAGATTGGGAATTGTATTGAAAATTGAGGAGCTAAGTTGAGTGATCGGTCGACTAAAGGGATTCATTTTGAAAGGCTACCGTAGCCAAGTAGTAACCAAGTCAAGTAAACTATTGTAGCCGAAAGGTACTGTAGTACTATGCGAGCAATACTATCTCACTACTTTAGCACTCATAGTCAGAAGGAAAGATGAAATGGCTCAAATGCCACCTGAGCTAGTTGGCTTTCCCTTGTCAATCTTCTTTTGTTAGTACATATACTACGAAATATGTAGGCCTGTACTATGTACTATGTACTAGCATCATATAGTATCACAATACTATGTACTATGCAGTAGATACTATGTACTATGCAGGCTACAGTGTACTGCCTTAAATTACACACGTCTACCTTCAGGGTGACGCCGAGCGTCTCACCGCCAAATCGATGGACCTCCAGGAGAAAGCGAATAAGATTAAAGAAGCCGATGTACAGGTAAAGATTTATTAATGTTTAGATTATCTTGATAAATAGTATGTTGTAAGTATTATCTGATTTCAGGGAGCTTACAATATCACCAAGGAGTCCGCTCAGAAATCCCTCACCGCCCAGCGCCGAGTCGATGCCGCGATGAGTAAGGTGGGGAAGAGAACTTTGAAAACTGGCCATAAATTACAAAAATAGTCGACTTGTACTTATCATATCCATCTTAAACTTATCCAGGTTTATTTAAAATTATTTAGGTTGCCGAAGCGGAGACCCAGGCCACTGCCACCGAGCAGTTGATGGAAAAGAATAGGTGGGGAAATGTTAAAGCCTACAATAAAGTTAAATAAAGTTTAACAAAATATTAAAAATATAAGATCTTATATAAGAAAATATAAGATCTAGATATAAATATCAAATATTTCAGAGAGGACTTCGATGAACAGTACGCGCAAAACGAGAAACAACTCCAGGAAAGCGAACAAGCTGTGGGTTAAGCTGAAAATGGCACTGATGATTAGATATAGTACTTATGTTACAGTTTAGATTATCTTGATAAATAGTAAGTTGTAAGCATTATCTGATTTCAGGGAGCTTACAATATAGTACTCATGCAATTTGAGAGCTGCAATTGTCTTAGGAGATGGTACTGATTCCTGTAGGATACTGTAAAAGTTCTGTAGTTAAAATCCGAGTTCTGTAGATGATGATACTATCAACCCAATGACTATGAATGAGCCATAGATTTCTAATAATATCTTTGTTTAGGTTAACATACTTGAAGCTGCATTGCCCGAGTTGAACAAACAAGTTTGTGGTGCGGCGGCGGCTCCTTGTGATGCACTTTGTGGTGGACCAGGAGGGAAATGCGGTGGAATTTGTGGTGGAAAGGTTTGTGATACTTTTTCTTCTTTCTTTCTTTCTTTCTTCCTTTCTTCTTCCCCTTTGTCTTCCCCTCTTTCTTTTGCCAAATTAAGTTACCGAATAGCTCAATGGTTAAAGCAATTGCAATGAAAAAATGAAAAAAGCAATGAAAAAATACTTTTCTTCTTTCTTTCTTCCTTTCTTCTTCCTTTCTTCTTCCTTTCTTCTTCCTTTCTTCTTCCTTTCTTCTTCCTTTCTTCTCCCCCTCTTTCTCTTGCCAAATTAAGCTACCGAATAGCTCAATGGTTAAAGCAATTGTACGGAAATCAAAAGGTCGAGGGGGGTTCAATCCTCTCTCCACAAATCTACAATTCACTTCACTCTGGTAAAGTGACTAATTATAAGTTTACTTCTTTGCAGTATTCTTTTATAGAAGTATATGATATTGCTTTGAAAACAATCTATTTTCAGAGTTGTATGGATGGAGCTGTTTCGAAAGCCGAACAGGCAAAGAGTTTCGCTATTGAAGCTGATTCGAAATTAAACGACAAGCAAAAAGAAAGCGAACAGGTAAGAGATAGGATTGAAATTTTGAAACATGTTAATTTTTAGGTGTTGACTTTGGTTCGAGATGTGCTCTCGGTGACTGATGCGGCGAAGAGAGAAGCCGAGGAGACGCTCAGAATCGCGAAGGTCAGGGAAATGAGAATTTAAACTCTTTATAGATAAAGCTCAATGAAATATAGATATTCATTGAGAGATTTGACGAATAAGCTGTTTTTTCAGGATGCTGCTAATCGAGCCAACACTACGAAGAACGAGCTGGATTCGATGGTCGGCGAGATGGAGGACTTCATCAGTTCAAACAGGTTCAAAAATATAGTACTAAGTATTTTATAAAGTAGTTACAGTGCCCCTTTATAGTGTCCTTTACAATATTCTTTTATAGAAGCTCACCGGAACAAGTACGAGCATTGGCCGAGGAGGTGCTGAAGATGGAAATCAGCCTGAAACCCGATCAAATTGATGAGTTGGCGAAAAAGGTTTGTGATGAATTGAAATTGAATTCATTCAAATTTTCAGATCCATGAAGCTCTCGGAAAAATCAACAATATTGAGCTAATTTTGAGAGAAACGAAAGCCGACAAACAGAAAGCGACAACACTTGAAGAGCAAGCGAGAAGGGCTGAAGAGAGAGCCAATGTGATCAAGGTAAAGAATTCAGATTAAAGACAGATACTAGAATCTAGTTTGCTATCTAGATTGATATCTAGATTGCTATCTAGATTTAAATAAATGTAAATGATATCTAGAATACAACGGAAACCGTTCGCGAGGCTCTAAAAGTGGCCGAGGAGGTGCAAAAGACCGCGCAACAAGCGATCAAGGACGCCGAGGAGAAAATGGAAAAGGCGAGGTGAGAACGAAATAAGTATTCAATGATTGATCATTCTAATAGTAAGCCATTTCTCAGCTACCGTAACGCTTAGACGAATCCTCGACTATGACTTAACTTTATAGAGCTGCATTGCCTCTGATACAAAGTACAGGGTGACCGCATAATATCGCCTCGAGCTTATATGGCCATAATCTGGTAGAACAAAGATCCCAACGACAACAAAAATAACATATTGATAGAAAATACTTAAACGTTAACAACAGATTTTAAAAACATTCCCATTTGCTGCAATACAAGCCCAAAGTCGATCGGCACGCAAGTACGCCACACACAAGTCATCCTAGGCTTTCTTGAGCGCTTTCTTTAACGAATCGAGGGATTGATGTGGTTTCGAACAAGCTTTTGATTCCAAAAAAGACCAAACAAAAAACAAGAACAAGAAGAACAAGAAGAAAAAGGAGAAAACAACAAACAAAAAGAAAAAAAAAAGATGAAATTTACATAACAGAACAAACAAAGTTCGAAAAGTTCTAAATCGAAAAGTACATTAAAAAATTGAAACAAAATTTCAATTTCCAATTACAAACCTTTAAAGAACTTTGCAAAAAATGAGATTCCAGGGAGAATTTGGCTGCAGCCAGACAGGAGACCGAGAACGCTGAGGGAAAAGCGAAATCCGCCAACGAGACGATGGCCAAGATTGAGGCTGATTTGAAGCAAGTTCGCGTGCAATATCTCCAGGTTTGTTATATTTAGAATTGTTAAGATTCTAAAAAGCACTCAAATATTTTAGATCTCTGATGACGCGAAAGCGGCGTACAACTCGGTGGATAAAGCCCAACAAGCTGCAGCCACAGCTGAGGCGCAGAATCGGCAAATGAAGGTGAGGAAAATTCTGTCAGAATTCGATCATTTATAGTTAGATTTGGATGAAATTTGCAAATAAATTTCAGAACGACATGGAAACGGCTCGCAAACTGTTGTCCGAGCGAACAGAAGGCAACGAGGCGCCACAAAAAAGAGCCGAGGACTTGAGGCAACGCGCAAGCAAATTACTCTACAAGGCCAAGAAATACAATGGAGATATTTCATGTAAGGGAAAAGCTAAATCTCAAGTTCATTATGAAAATTTCAGCATTGACGAAAGACTCAACCGAGTTGCAGTTGACCGATTACATGCAAACATTGGACGCGTTGAATAAAAGACTCGAATCGGTGAGTTCTTCATGAAATTCGATTTCATTCAGAACTTTTTAAGCTTTTGGTCACGAGAAAATTTGATAGGTTTTATGAAAAAAAGACTACTGAAGTATACTGTATTACTGTAATCGAGTTTGGTTTGGTAATAAAGCTAAGAGGGGATTTTTTTCAGAAGTTTGAACTCTAGAAAATTGTACAGACGGTTAGTATTACGGTTACTGTATCAGCTGATTACGATTTACTGATTACGGTAGCACGTTCTAGCTTTAAAGTATCTCCCTGAAAATGAGTTCAGAAAATTTGCGAATTAGAGATTTTTCTATCAGCTATCTGCAGCTAAGAGTTCTCTATAGTATAATAAAGACAAGCTTTGAAGTACTCTAGCACGCTTGCTGAACCAAACAATTACCTAGGTAGGGCTACTGTAACTGCACTATGATTTAATCCGGGGCTACTGTAGCACTAAAGTTGGGTCAAACAGGAATCCAAAGTCTGATTGATCTAAAGTCTATCCTTTCAAAGCTTACAATTAGATATCAAACAGGAATCTTGATTTTGCTTTCAGGTTCAACGTGACATCGACCGTCGAATCGATTGGTACATCAATTGCGAGCAGGGGCAAACGTACCACCCAGTTTATTGAGGAAAGCCCGACTTGTTATCAGAAATTTTTTCATAAAAACTTAACTTTAACTCGTGGTGCTGTCAGTTTTTCCACAAACAAACTCGAAATCTCAATTCTCCTTTTCTCAACTGCCATATTATACGTAGACTGTGCTTCACTTGATTGAGACTTTCTAAAAGTTGCACTTCAGGCAATACTACTGTAAATCTCAGCCATAATAGCTGACTATGATTCATTTTTATTTAATCTTAAGCTATTAAGCGATTCATTCACTAGTGAAAACCAAGATACAATAGCTTTCTTTTTCGGGAGAAAAGCTCCTGGAGTACGGTGGGTTTTTGAGCTCCGGCTTCTGAACCATTTCTAACTTAAAAGGCCAACAAGTACTTGTTGTACAACGTACGGTACTTGTTGTACAACTGTTGTACAACAAGTACCGTACGGTAGCTAAGCACACTTTTTAGAAAACCTTTAACCAAGAAGAATACAGTCATGCCTCTTATTTCGTGGTCTCTGCAAAGAAATTTCTTCTCCAAAGCTTTTACTTCCCCCAATCTTTATTCATTTTTAATTTATTCATAAATTAATAGGTATTGCCGAATTGTGTACGAGTTGTTTTCTTTTTCTTCACCCCACGTCTCACTGCATTCAGTGCAATATAATTTTATGAGCATTTCGTCGTTTTTTCGTTCATTTTATCTCGATTTGTGCCTTTTATCCTTACACAAAACGTGCTACTCACAAGAATACAGTGTTTTGAAATGAAGAATCATCTTTTGACATTAAATTTAAAAGAAAAACTGCACAAAATGTGAAAAAAACAAACAAAAAAACGGAAATTTTCTGTTTTCTACAATGCACTCATTTCTGTCTACAAAAATTTGTTGCTTTTTTAAACTGAATACCTAAAAAGTTTGCTTTACGCGGGGATGGGACAAATGCGACCTTTTTTTTTTGCTGGAAAAGGCCTTAGGCAAGGCCGTAGAGCTTCGAAAATATTTCCTTATAAGGGAATCGTATGCGTAGATTCCGAATTTCGACAAATCAGACCTCGCTGACACGTCAAATTTGGGCTAAAAGGCAAAAACTGCGCAAAAGCGTTAAGTTGCGTAGTTTTTGCCTTTTAGCCCAAATTTGACGTGTCAGCGAGGTCTGATTTGTCGAAATTCGGAATCTACGCATACGATTCCCTTATAAGGAAATATTTTCGAAGCTCTACGGCCTTGCCTAAGGCCTTTTCCAGCAAAAAAAAAGGTCGCATTTGTCCCACCCCCGCTTTACGCTTATAAAGTAGATAACTGAAAACTCACGAAAAATCATTTTTAATTTCTTGTCCGTTGAAAGTGCGCGGTTTTAAAAAGCCATTTAACTGCCCGTGGTTTGAGTATACATTCTTTAGTTCATGGCTCTTATTCATGTTACAAAAAGTTTTTATTTCCTTGAAACACTCTTTAGAAAGTTTATGGTTCATGTCGGAACGTTCATGGTTTATGTTCGTTCATGTGTTAGGACTTTTCGTTTGTGACTTTCCGAACATGAGCCATGAACGTCCCGATATGAACCATGGACAAGTGAATTTTACTAGTGCCTTTCATTTTGCTCACATTTCAACCCATTCATGTATCGATTAATTATTTTTGTTTAGAAAATGAACGGAACAGGACAAGCTCCGCGACGAGTGCGGCGTAATCGAGCAAACGGTGCGGGCCGGCCTTGGAGTAAGTTTTTTAGTTACTAACAGGCTCGGTCAGTCACGTCTATAAATGTAACAAAGTTTTGAAATTCTCATTAACACGTTAACTTTTCTGATCTTCTGAAATTTTGATCCTAACATGCTTGAGTAGAATTATGGGAGCCACTTGCTTCTGGTACGAAACGCACCTCAGCCGTAGGAGAATCAGGCTAGCCTGGTTACCACGTGGTTCTAAGGTGCGGAGCCAAAACCTAGGTAAATATAGGAGCCTGGAATGTTGTTAAAAGTTACGAAATGCTGTGTGAAACCATCACCAATCGATACAGCATAGTCAAAAGCCTCTGGGTGCAAAAAAAGTCAGCTCATTTGGCGAAAAAAATCCCCCTCCTCAACTATTATAGCACATTGAGTTTTAAAAACGGACATTTTTCCATTACTAACTTGCCTTAAAAATAACTTTTTCGTGAGCAGCATCATCAATTAGAAAAAATTGTTTTGGTAAAAAAAGTCCCCCCGCCCCCAAAGCCCATAGTACCTCCGTCTCCATTACCCCTACAAAAGTTATTGAGCTCTTTGAATCGATCCACGCATTCGCTAAGAAATTGCTAGTACATCTTTTACAGATGCTAACCTTTTGTTTTAGTTAGAGTGCCCGTAGGGTTTGCGACTACCGAAAAGGATTGGGAGCCTGACTTTAACGATGCCGCAGGGTAAACATCTTGTTTGTTATGGAAACTGATATTTTCTTTTAGTTGCTACGTTGTGCGGTATCCGGAGCTGACGCCAAAAATCGATCCAGCAAATGTTGGCAAGCTGACGTTTATCAAATGGGATCTGGATGATGAAAACATTCCACCAAATGAACGCGCCTGGATGTCTACTCAATGGAAAACTACTTTGGACGTGATTAAGGTAAACATTTTGTTTTTCCATAGTCCTTACTAGCTGCTTCCTACTAAGGTTAGCTTTTTGTTTTTAGAGCTTTGAGTGGAAGCCGCGAATCTACTTCAACATTGACCACATCAAACTGGTGCGAAGCAAGTTGCGTAAGCAGGTCTCAAGCTTTGGCCAGCGGGACATGACTGAAGAGGTTCTACTTCATTAATCGTTTAATGTTTTATTTACTTTAGGCATTTCGAACCATGATATCAAATGCAGTACCAAGGATGGTGTATCAAGAACAGGATCAAATGCGATACACAGAGAAGATGCGGGAAAGAATTGCTGAAGCTATGGAAGTTTTCAAGTGGGAGAGCAAATAACATATCTAATTATTTTTCTTGTTTAGGGCGCATTTGATGAGCAACCCATATATTGAGAATTTGTCCGAATTTTTCGAAACAATTACTGTATATTTCACCTATATTACTAATTATGACTTTGTTTAGCGTTTGCATTCATCCCACTTCATTCATTTTGGACCAACCATGGCTTTACGTGTACTTCAAGAATACGAGAATGACCTGCAGGAAAACAAGCCTGAACAAGAATCGAAGTTTCAAAGATGGCGTTTTGGAGAGCATGAAGTCACACTCTGGAAGGTTTGAACCTAGCATTATTGTTGTACAAGTTTAACATTTAGATGCCATTCGACGAGACGATGGATCACGCGATTAACGAGGAAATGCAGAGGCTAAATGCCCAAGAAATTTTCACGAACTTGAAAGAGGAGACCTTTGAGATGGCTGTCCCAAACCATAACTTCAAAGTAAATTGTTTTTCCTTGTTGTGCTTTATTCTTTATTTAGATTTTGGTTGGAGAAGGTGGCGAATGTGACTTTCTTTCACCAAACGACAATGGATGTTCACTGCTTATTTTGGGAACTCAAGAAGATTGCTCTCAAATGCTGCTTTCAAAAGATATTGGCGAACGCAGGAGTTTGACCTCGTTTGAACGTCGAAGAATCCTTTGCGCACTTGGAGAAGTAAGTTTATTTGAAACTAACTAATTTAAATGAATGTTTCTAGAAAGACTGCGTGCCATTCATTGTGCAGTATCGAAACACGAACAAAGCTTGTATTGGACGTCAAGAAATCGAGAAGAATGGATTATTGCGATGCTTTGCTTGCCCAAAGGATTTCATTTTGGGCGAATATCACGGCAATACACGACATGAAGAGTCAGTCTCAATCCTCTTCCGCTGGCAAAAATCTCCTCCACTAACTACCATTCTTTTGACGGTAAGGCTTGCTTCTAACTCGCTGTGAAACTTCCTTTTTAGATCAAAGAGCCTGCTTTGGTGAGATACGCTAACGAGGTGTTTTCATGCAATGGTTTCCCCACGAATATCAAACGACGATACATTGACAGTAAAGAAGTTCGCACATTTGTTACAGAGTTGCAATAATCGTTTTTAGCTCGAAATCAGAATGTATCCGGATGACATCAAAAACGAGGATGAAGCATGCGAGTGGGTTCGCTCGATCTTAACGCCAGCTGGAGTCGAGATAGAATCAGTGAAGATGAATCGCTATCCACCACAAGAATTAACCAATGAGTGGGTTTATGATACTAATATAACAAATATCTTTTTTGCAGGGTGAAGCTTGAAACTTGCAGGGCTTTATCAGGTCATTTTATCAAAAGTGCGATGGAAAGAAAAGTATGGATTGATGGCTCTGAAAACAATCCAAAAGATCAACTCGCTTTGTATAGGGTACGTTTAAAAGACTCAACTATTTATTTTATCATCTTTTAGTACATTTTGGATTATTCTAAGTTTCCGTGGACTTTTGAATTTGACGGCAGCGATAACACTTATAACGCTGTGACGGTAGGTCTCCCTTGCTCTATTAGAACTTTTCTTTTCAGGCCACCTTCAAGAATATTGAACAAGGTACGATGATCGTGAGGCACATGATGTACGAACTGGACAAACGTCGAATCAGTTTAAATTCTGTCGATCGGACTCAAGTCAATCATCTGCCGCAATACAGGCACAAAATGGAGGTGCCCAGCTACTTGCGCCCGATTTTTGATGGAGTGCTGAAGAAATTCAACGATAATCCATTTGGGTGTGTTGGCTGCTTTTTTGTTAGAGACTTATTTTACTTTAGTGAAAACTCTCAATCGGACGCGCAACACTGGATTCGAATCTGTGATCTTCAATCTACCAACTTAAATACAGATAAACTCGGTGTGTGTGGATGGCCAAAGAGGTGGCTTCGTTTGCGTTTAAAATGTAATGCATACAGCTTTTAGTTATGCGGATCGAGGTTTTAAATTTTTGCGCTCTTTGTTCAATCCGAAGACTTTTAAGCTCCAAGACGATGCCGATAATTGGATATTCTTTGAGTGAGTTTTAAGATGTTAAATCTATGACTTGTACGTTAATTTTAGCATTGGTGCTGCATGGTTACACGAACAACTTGAGCAAGAAAAGGCAAGGTTGGACTTCTTCTACGATGTTGACGTAACGAGACGTACAATTACGATGTGGGGCCCACCTGAAAGAACGGAAGAAATTTCGGAAACGATTCGGCTTGCAATTGTTAACAGGTGTTGATACAGTAAAAATTTGTATAATTTTTAATATTTCAGACATTCAATGAAAGTGAAGGCTTCAATAGCAATTACTGCTCCACAATACCCAAACTATTTTGATCAGCTTGTCGATTACGTTGATGAATTTTTTGCTAAAGGTAAGTAGTTTTTACTTTTTTAAATGCGTGTATGTTTAGATACTCCTGGATTTGCTTATCTCCTTGCAGCAAAAGAAGTTCCAAAGATCACCTTTGATGCGACAACCATGTCAATCGTTATTGATGGTACTGTTGCACAATATGAACAGTTACGAGGGTTGCTTGATGATCTCGCACAAACGGTAAACAGTTTTGCCTTCAACACCTGTAATTAACATCCTTTAGGCTTTCAAATCTCGGCACTTTGTGATGGAGAACAGGCATTTTTTGTCATCGAATTGTGGAATTTGTCTATCGCCACCTCTCCATCAAGATTATTATCGCCTTGAAATCTGTGGACACTATTTTTGCCGCGAATGCATCAATAAGCAAGTAAGCTTTCGATTTGGTAAAACGCGTGAACATATTTTTCAAGGTACTGACAGACCAACGCAGCCCACGGCGACAACCCCTCGTTTGTGCTTATGAGGAATGTGGAGAACCATTTGTTGCCAGTGATATCAAGGTGATTCATTAACACATTATTGGTCTTAAATGTTCTAAAAACTAAATTAAGAGTAAGCTAATTTTCGTTTTTAGCGACTACTTCTTGGCGCTGGAGGTGGCTTCACGTTAGAGGACAGAGCTTGGTGGCTAGATGCCGAAAAGTTGGAAGCATTCATGTCGACAACTTTGGAGCGCCTTCTCAATCGTCCGGGGTCGTCCTATTTCAATTGCATTACGCCAGACTGTAGAGGAATCTTTGAGGTTTTTTTTGCAAAATCTATCTTTTAAGCCAGTATTTTAGCGCAAGATGCAGCAGGGACAGTTATCGAATGCCGTATCTACGTGTGACTCGTGCTCTCGAAAAATGTGCAGCTTTTGTGGACTTGAAGAACATTCGTTTATGTCGTGTTTTGACTACAAAAATCTCCGAAGTAAATTGCGTTAAAATTTTTGCTGAAGAACTAGGACATTGCACTTAATAAAAGGGATCGCTCACTGATATTATTTTAGATGATGATAGAGTGTCGGTGGAAAGATACATGACTTCTTTGGGACCAGACAAGGTTGCGCTTTGCCCGGGTTGTAAGATGCTGATAGAGAAAACCCACGGTTGTAATCACATGCAATGTCTTCGTTGTAACACAGATTTCTGCTGGATTTGCAACTACATGGTAAGTTTGTTTATTTTAAAAGTAAAATAATTTTATTTGCTAATTATTTATTTCCAGGGCTCAAATGGAGACATTTATCGACACCTCCAAGAAGTACACAAAAGTGTGACAGATCATCCATGGGTTTTCAATGAAGAAGGTCACGTTATTGGTAAGCGTTGTCTATTGCTATTGTTTTAGCAAGCTATGTCTTTAGCTGCACCACCTGGCGAAGAACAAGTGGCCTTGAGGGAGATGGTGGCGCTCGAGATGAATAACAATCTCCGTCTACGAAATCCTCAAGGATAAAAGATGAAAAAGAATTTTCACTTGTCGTTAAAGTGTTGTTTTTATTGATTTGGCTGTTTCTCATTTGTACCTAATTTCTTTCAACATTGGTTTTGATTCTTTTGATCTATATTTATTTGTTGTGTGCAACTTTGGTTTGGGTTTATAATTTTCTAAAATCAATAAAATGTTAGATATTTTCTTAAGAAAATATGCAGCTAAAATCACGCGCAAAAACGTACTTGACGCAAAAGTTGAACATAGTTTCGGAAATCATCTGTCGACCTGACTTGGCCTTACTCTAGAAACAATTTTTGGATACTGTAGGACTGTGTTGTGGCGTTTATTTGGTGCCCTTTTGATGGTAACTTCTGAGCCAAAATTGCGCCATTTCAATTTATTGCACTCAAATAAATTTAAACTTGCTCCTTTGGCAATCGTTAAGATTCGACAATTTAAGACCTTTGATTTGCTTTACTTTTCCAAATTTGACTTTACAATTTTTTTTTTTCAGCTGAGATGTACAAATGGGTTTTGATCGCGTCCGTGCAGAAAAGGGAAACGATCCCTCAACTATTGGAGTTCGGTCGATGGCTTGTAAAAGCGATTGCTGCAAGGGCACACGAATTTGGAACCAATATCAACTTCGAGGAAAAGGAGATGGCCCATTTCTACGCAGAAGTTGACAATGCTGAAAACGTCTACGAAATCTACGACACGGTTCACGATGAATATCCGTCTGTCACTTTTGTGCTTCACATTTTGCCGAGAAAGGACTCAAATGAGTATAGGTGGATGAAAATGATGTGTGATGAAATGGGCCTCGTTCGACAGGGAGTTCTTGAGGAGAATGCGCTCAACAAGTTTGAGGGATTAGACATTGAAGAGGTTTTGGGCAACATCACTCAATGGATTGGCCGAGAGCTTTTCAAATTGAGCAGCGGAAAGATTCCACAGAGTGATCGGCCTTTTCGTCTGGCGCTCGGCGATCGACAAACATCCAAAGTCGAGAAATCACTGCGATTCCCGAAAGGTGCTGAAGCAATGCAATCCTTTGTGACCATGATTCACGGTGAGCCACCAGAGAAGCCAGAATCGCTTGAATCTTCCATCTCGATCACCGGTTTACCCATTGGACTTTCTCCATATGTTGTGGCTGCAATTTTTGAGAAGCTTTCCGTCGAACAAGTGAGCTTCGATGGACCGACCGCCTACGTGAAATTCGCGAACAAGTTTCACGCTTTCCAGGCAATTCGCTTGTTTGGAAAGCACGTCTTCGATCAGCACTACCCCCTCAAAATGCAGCCGATGACCGAGGATTTAAGCCAAATGATTGAGAAAATTTCCATTTAAATATAAACAGCCAAAAATGTTATTTCAAGTCAGGGAAAGGTGTCTCTTTTTGTTTGTTCAAATTTTGCTCATTCTATGATCTCATGTTTTTATGATTACCGGTTAAATTTTTTGATTGATAAATAGTAATTTTAGTCGTGCGAGCAAATGGCTCGATTGTCGCTACGACTTTTTGCTTCGGCGGAGCGAGCGTTGTTTCAGAGCGATAAAGGAGAACGTTTTCTGAAAGAGGTGAATCATTAAACCCTTGTCATAAATAAGATAGTCTAACATTAAAGTACGAAAGTATGAGGTCTCGTGTTCTAACTATACCAATTTGTTTATTTTTAGATAAAACAGCGACTCGTTGCCGCAAAATCCGGGCAACTTCAAGCAAATTCAACGAGGATATCGTACTGGGAAGACATCGAACACGATGCAGCTCATTTTCGAGTGAGCGCAAAAGAAAGCGACCAATTGAGTCAGCTATTAAATGGTTTGTTAGTTTATTCATCTTGATTCAATAAGTAGATATTCTTAAGTTCTTAAATTTAGAAACTTCCGACCCAGAACTAAAAGCGTTGGCCCAAGAGGATTTCCAAACGGTCGAGGCAAAAACGGACGAAATTGCAGAACGACTGGCACAAGTGGCACTACCGAAATCAGAAGCCGATGTTTTGAAGAAATGTCAGATCGAATTTGCTGCGTAAGTTTTTGGGTCAACGGGTACGAAATTGGTAATGTTTATCAAAGAGTAATCCTGGATAATACTAATAAAGTTTGACAAGTGTTTTTTAGTGGCGCTGGCGGTCAAGAAGCGATGCTCTTCACGGGGGGAACTGCTCGAGATGTACAGACGCTATTCGGAGTGGAGAGGATGGAAATGGACGCCATTTCAAGTAACATATCAAGCAATTCATGAAATTAAAAAAAAAATTTATTTTACATAGAAAAATGCAGTGTTAAAGTTATTGATCGACCCGTAGATTTGAAGAAGTTAGACATTCATTCACTTTTAATCCCGCAATCGAGGTTGCATGAAATTAAAGATCGAATTGTCGGGGAGATTGTCATCTAAACTTTGCTTATGAATTAAATTTAACAGCCAGTAATGTGATTGGGTCTGATTGTTTCAAAAATTACCTGGAAAGAATGGGGCACCAAGGGCAAGTGCCATCATCAAGCTAATTGATAGAAAACATTGAAGCAAGAAACTTGTAGACGACATAGTTGGGCAAATGTTAAAATTTGATCGATTGACTTCGTTGGGGAAACTGGTGGTATTTTCGTTTATATAGCGGGAGTGGCGAGTTCAAGGGGTACTGAAAAACAATTTCGTATTTTCTCTCGCGTTTGATGTTTTGCGTAGACTTTGCCCAACTCGCCTTATCACTTTCTTTTGCTACAGGTTTTTTGAGAGAGATTCGCGCAAGGGCCTCTCTTTTTCTGGAAGTGTTAGACCTTTGCTCGTTTAATGTGAAAAATATTTTTTGTAGATGCAATAACATGTTATGAACATAGATAATGAAATTCAAAACATTGAAGATCAGATGATTTTTGAGAGTTTGAGGTGATGACATTGATGCTACAGTCACCGACTGCACGATTTTTATTTTAATCGATCTCGTGTTCCCTTTCAGATAGAAGATGTACCTCTTGGTGGAATTCGTAGTGCGGCTGTTGCAGTCGAAGGAGATGGTTGCTTTGCTGCGTTAAGGTATTGCCGATTGGGATTTATTTGATATTTTGCTGTTTAGATTTGAAGCGGGTATTCACCGTGTACAGAGGATTCCACTCACAGACAAATCTCGAATGCACACTTCAACTTCTTCAGTTACTGTGCTTCCCGAGCCTGATGAAGTAAAGCTTTGCAATTCTGTAGTCGCGTGGAAATGCAATGGCATTAGTTTAAACAAAACGTGTAGAACAAAACTGAACCATGTAGAATAGTTGGCGTTTCTTTAAAAATTAAATATTTAATATTTTTTGGAGTAAAAACATAGGATCAAGGATTCCAACAATTTTTCAAATCTCTATGTTTTACTTTAGATTTCACTCATTTTGCCACCCGACTCGGTAAAAGTGGAGGCAATGAGAGCATCCGGACCTGGTGGACAAAATGTGAACAAGAGGTTGGAGTTTGACTACCTATATTAAAGTGTAAGAGCAGTTTTTGGATCTACCGCTGTTCGATTGACACATAAGGAGACTGGGATTTCCGTCCATTGTATGCAAGAACGATTCCAGCACTTGAATCTACAGGTATCCCATTATCTTATATGTTAAGGTTTTAATTTTTAGATTGCCTATAAAAGATTGGCGGCCTGTCTCTTGCAGCAACGATTCGACTCGGCCGATGAGAAAACGATGTCTGCAAGAAAACTTCAGGTTAGCTTTGCTTAATCAATATTATTTTGTCAAGTAAAAGTTGCTAATTTTTGATTTTAGATGGGCTCACGAGCTCGCGCCGAGAAGATTCGCACCTACAATTTCAAAGACGATCGCATTACGGACCACAGGATACATGTAAACTTCAGTAATATTGAGGTTTTTGTTTATTTCTTAATGGTTTTACCTTTTTTTCAGGAATTGATGTGCGGCACCGAACATTTGGACGATTTGATACGACGACTGAGCGATTTCGATCGACAAGAACGATTAAAGCAAATCATTGACGATTGCATAGTGGAATAGTTTGAGATAATTTTTTTAGTTTACTAGGTTTAGTTAGTTTTGTTTGTGATTAGCTTTTGCTTTGTTAATTTGTACGGGTGTTGATAAATTCTTGGATTTTGGAACACAGATCTCAGCGGTTTCCTTCAAAGGCAGTGACGGAGAAGGTGAGATAAAGACAATTAATGGGGTGCTATTTTTAAGAGACTTCGGTCATGAAACTTGATGAGCTTTTGCGATAAGAGGAAAAGGGGAAGGTTTTGAGTGCAAGGTGTCTTTGGAAGGTTGGAATTTCTTGAAGTCTGGCAAGTTAACGAAAGAATGACTGTCCCATATCATCATCAAGTGGCCACATCAAAGCCGCATTTGATATTGAAATTGCTTTTCAGGTGACTTGGTTTTGTATATCAAATTGTGTTTAAAAACTACATTCAAAGACTTTTCAACTTCAATTGTAAAACCATTTCAGATGGAAGGGCTCTGTATGGAAATCAGTCCTCGTCGAGTATTTCATTTGGATCGTTTCCTATTTCATTATCTATGCAATTTATCGATACGCTTTACCGAAATACAATCAAAAGTTTCTCTCTAAGCTTACCCAAATCATCTCAAAATCCCTAGATCTTTGGAAGAATTCATCCGTTTCTGCGACAAGTCACTCGGCTTCATTCCCCTTAATTTCATGCTCAGGTTGGCCCCCAAGAACAATAGGGAAACTTTCTCTTTTGGTTTCTAGTTTCTTTGTGACAACGGTGGTGAATCGATGGACGGTCATGTTCACGAATTTGGGACTCATCGATAAGTATTGAAGAAATGGCCGGGAAAAGGTTTAATGAGAGATTTAGTGTTGCTTTGTTCACGGCTCAGTATGTACAAGGGGATGACGCGAGGGGGAGGATGTTCAGGAGAAATATTGTCAGGTGAGTAGAGGGAAAAAAATGTTTGGGAAGGAATTTGGATGAGATTTTTGGATATTGTGAGTTTACAGCTGGGTACTGTGAGCTAAAGTTCTA